TGTGCTACAAGATGCTATTTTAGCAAAATTTTCCATGGATTGTGAGCCGAGAATCCAATTACGAACTTGAATGATTGTCGCGGTCCTCCCGTGCCATATAAAACTTTGAAGCAAGAGACGATTGCAGATCTTTCGCACTATCCAGCAAGGGTAGACCTAGCTCATTTGATGGCAGAAAAGCGTTAGGGTTTTCTCACTTTTCAGCGAAGAAAAATGAAATAATTTCATGACCGATTTTTGAACCCGCTGAGATGCCAGAAAAAAGTGAGTACTTTCGACTTTTTCGCGATATTTTCTTTCAAAAATTTTCCGTAAAATCCAAACTTGGCAACATTGCCAACACTACTGCTCAAGAGACCTTAGGTTACACGATGAGTGAAGTCTGCTTTATCCTAATTCATTTCAAATAAGTTATGCTTTCTCAAAGTAGAGGCTTCTGAAAAAAGTTGTTGGCAATTTTCAAGTCAGAAATTCTTTCTTGTAATAGATACAGTCACGTAAAAGTATTTGTTTTATAGCCACTAATCTGATGGTTACAGTACTTTTTATTGCGCCCAGAAATGTCTTTTGAAAAAAAAATATCTTGGTTGAAAGCTGAAGTATAGAACATGTGCATTAATTATGATCAACCTAATATACAGGGTGTCCGTAAAGTATGTATACACTGTTTGATCGTTAATATCTTTCTTCCCAACAAGTCTTTTGCCTTGCTTCAGGTACCGTTTTTTAGAGCTGGCTTCAACTTAGATTTACAGTATGGAGCGAATCACCGATCGCTCTTCATTACTGTAGGATTACGTTAGAAACTTGAAACATATGGTGTCAATGTGGAAAAAACTGCCGTTTCCAAAATTTTCAAAAAATTGTGAAAACTTGTGTAATAGGGTTTTCATGGACGCTGATTTCAATAGTCAACTATTCACAAGATTGCGAAGCTTTTTAAACGGTGTAACCGCACTTTTTAGGAACATTGAAAAAGTGGCCGCTACTCCCTACCTGGCATAACTCTTCAATGAAGCATCATAATAAGTTGGAAATTCCAAAATTAGATTCAGCAACTCTAATTAGCCTAGTGTAAAAGTTTTCAGGCTGTTTTGTTTCCTTTCTGAGGCAAAATATGGCCTTTCATGGCTCAAAACCCTCTTTGAAGTTTCTACCATAATCCTACAGTAATGAAGAGAGATCGGTGATTCGCTCCATACTACAGATCTAAGTTGAAGCCAGCTCTACAAAACGGTACCTGAAGCAAGGCAAAAGACCTGTTGGGAAGAAAGATATCAACGATCAAACAGTGTATACATACTTTACGGACACCCTGTATATTAGGTTGTCCCGAAAGTTCGTTCGCACCATTTTCAAAAATTCATAATTCTTTGATTTCTTAACGAATTTATATGATCAAATTTTTCGTAAGAGAAGAGCTCATGCTTTTTGCATCTATACCTGAATTGTTCGTTAGTATTCACAAACGACGGAGATAAATCAGAGCCAAAATCACTTGAAATTTGAATTTTTCGTGTAGGGTCATAAAAAATCGGAAACTTGCAACGAAAATTGGAGCAGTCGGTATTATAGGTTCTTTCACCAGCTCTTTCCAACAATGCAAAGTTTGCGCCGATTGAGCGTTTCTGTAAAAAGTTATGAATTTCCTGAAAAATGCCAAAATAAATCAAATTCGCCCTTTTGTATTGCTTGCTCGAAAATCATAACTTTCCATAGAGACGCTCAATCGGCGCAAACTTTGCATTGCTGGAAAGAGCTTGTGAAAGAACCTACAATACTGACTGCTCCGATTTTTGTTGCAAGCGATTTTTTATGACCCTACACGAAAAATTCAAATTTTGAATGATTTTGGTTTCGAGCTTCTATCTCCTTCATTTGTACACATTAACGAACAGTTCAGGCACAGTTGCAAAGAGCATAAGCTTCTCTCAAGCAAAAATTTGATCTTACAAATTCGTTGAGATTTGAAAGAGTTACGAATTTTTGAAAATGGTGCGAACGAACTTTCGGTACAACCTAATATATAGAAGGAGCAGCTATAGATGTGACAACTTACCTTCAGATCTTTTCTATCTGCTTTTGAGATTTTTTGCACATTTTTACGATCTGCATATGTAGTCTCTTTTTTAATGACTCAATTAACATAAAATGCCCAAAATTCAACTATGAGATTCCGACATGACGATTTACAAGCTAAATCAAACTAAGCCCTTCAAGAACAGATTTTTCTCAATTTTTTAGTACCATTTGGTACCCTCTGATTCAACGAGATGGGCAGCTGGAAGGGGACCGCTCGCACCCGCGACGCATCTCTCTTGCGAGCTTGTTCTCTGATCATCCCCTAACCTTGAATAGGCTAAGCTCCACCTTCCAGCCGCCAATCCCTTTGAATCAATGGATATATGTTATAGCTGAACTTAGAAATATCGGAATTATTAGATAGATCTATACAAAAATTTTAATTTATTGAATATTATGGACTAGCGCAAGAAATACATGGAAGTAAGTACATATATTAGGTTGTCCCGAAAGTTTTGTCGGTTTTTTCAAACCACTGTAAATCTACGCAAAATAAAGAACTGAGGGAGTTCCAACATGCATTCGATGCAGCTTTTCCTTCTCTTTCTTACGGTTACATTTTTATATCGCAATCTTGTATGCTTTTTTTGATAATTGCCAGTTGTCCACTCGTCAACTTTACCTGTTCAAAGTTAGGGTAATTTTTAGAAATTTCATTCCGAAGTTCCGAAAAGCGTTAAGTATGGATCAAATAGAGCAATTCTCGGACTACAAGGTATCATTTTTAGATTCTCTTAATCTGCTGTATTTAGCTTCAAAAAATTATTTCTCCGGAGGCCTCGAGTTTTGGCAAAGTCATGAAACACGCAACTGCATTAAATACACGAAAGCCTTCGAAGTTTCTGCTTATTGAAACTTGACTTTTACTAAACGTTATTTATGCAACATAACCAAATTTGATTCGCTTTGAAAAAGCAGCATTTTGGAATTTTTGATACTTTTACTTGTTAAACTTAATCAAAAAGCCGCGGTTTTTACCAAATAAATAATTATAACGGACTTGGTAAAGGCGGCTCATGTAATCTAAAATAGATACAGTGTAGTCGAAGGTTTGCTCTACATAACACTTATCAGCGTTCTTTGGAAACATCAGAATAAAAAATTTCAAAATTCAGGAAAAATTTGGCGTTGCTGCTGAGCTGCTCAAAAAGCCATGGCGATAACATTGCAAAGACACGGTAGATCGAAGAGCAAGTATAACTGTAAGAAAGAGAATAGAAATCTGAATCAAACGGTACCCACGCCGTCTATGGATTGCCGTTCTGTGAGTTTTAGTGAGCGATGAAAGAAACCGACAAAACTTTCGGGACAACCTAATACAATGCATATTATTAGGTGGGTGCAAAAGTTCTTGCGCCGAATTTTCAAAAAACCATAACTTCCTTCCTTCTTGGTGGAATTTTTTACATTTATTTTTGTTTGAAAGAGAAAACCTTTTTCTTTATAGCGGTGCCTTTGCCATGAATTAGCGTTGGTAAGTTCGAGAGTTAAAAGCATTTGAAGGAAATTAGTCAAGATCGACATTTTTTAAGCTGGGATCACGAAAAATTCTGCAAGCTTGAAAACGTCACAGAACAGGCGAAAAAGTCATAAACATGGGTTTTGTGACCTCCCCTTTCTAGCTGAGCGAAAATCGTGCCAATCGGGAGCAATTTTCATTTTCGTGAAAAACGCAGACCCGAAAATCCGAATAAATCACGAAAAATAAAAATTGCTCCCGATTGGCACGATTTTCGCTCAGCTAGAAAGGGAAGATCACAAAACCCATGTTTATGACTTTTTCGCCTATTCTGTGACGTTTTCAAGCTTTTTTGATTGTGCTCAAAAATTGCAAAACTAAAGAAATTCTCTTTAATTGCTTCTAATTCTCGATCTACTTCGTTTTAATCAATGAAAAAGGTACCACTATAATGTGCAAGATTTTCTCTATCAAATAAGAATACTTGCAGAATTTTTCTTGAACCAGCTTGAAAAATGTCGATCTTGACTACTTTCCTTCAATTGCTGCTAGCTTTGGAACTTTCTAACGACGCTTCACAGCAAAGGTACCATTGTAAAGGAAATGGTTTCCTCTTTCAGATGAAATTAAAATCAAGAAAATCCATGGAGTGGCAAGGAAGTTATGATTTTTTGAAAATTCGGCGCAAGAACTTTTGCACCCACCTAATATAAGGCTACCTTCAAATGATCTACTTCTAGAAAGAAGACAAAATCACCAAAAACTTAAGAAGCAATTTGAAAAATGAGGAGTAAAAAAATTATACTAAGTGCGCAGTTGTCCTTGTAGCGGAGCGTGCCAGCGCCATGTCGGCGTCGTGCTAGTGCCGTGTTAGCGCCCGCAGAAACCTACATGGAAGCTCGCCGTACTGGTCGGTTGGCGTTTGGACCCGGCGATGGCACGGCGCTGGCGCCGCACTAGAACGGTGTTGGCACGGAACTCTGGACGCAGTCTAAAGAAAGGCTCGCCGAATTTTCTAGAATAATATTGGTTGAAAGATTAGAAGTATGTAAAGAACTTGGATCGATTATTGATTGATCTTTGAGGTCTACGCTAGTTCGAAGAAAAGGAAATTTTTGGACCCACATAATTCCACAATCGCAATCCTACGTTCTTTTTTGAACAAATATTGATGTGACTACTTTATTATAATAAATGAGCAGATGCACAAGCAGAATTAAAAGCAATCATTATTCAAAGCAAGCATTGTCTGACGCTAGCATTCATTTCGGATAATGAGAAATCCTTTTTTCTTTCTTTACTCAACTTCATAAATGGGTTGTTCGCTCCTCATACATCTTTCTACCCCCTCTTCATTTTTTCTTATTATTGTCACTTTAGATCTCTCCAACCACATGGTACAATGATTTGGTCACGGTATCTAAGACGCAAAGGTTTTGGCATGGTATTCAGGGTACTTATGGGATGCACTGTTGTATTTATTACTTTACAAATTGCCAATTCATTTCCTAGCCTTTCAATACGGGAACGAAAGGTGAGTCACATTTTTCAATAATGATTTCAATATTTTGCTGCTTAAAGGCAGTGGACAGGCAAAATGGACCCCTGTCAGATTTTGGTATTTTCGGGTAGTGGACCCCCCAATTACACCGTAGCCCCAACCCCAACTTCCAGTTGATGCGCTAAGTCCTGAAAAATGCGCTTCAAACTTCCACCAATAACGCCCACTCAATGGAAGTGGGCGGGGCTGGTGGAGTTTTGAAGAGCTTTTTTCAGGACTTAGCGCATGAATTGGAATGTGGGGTTGGGGTCACGGTGTACTTGGGGGGTCCACTACCCGAAAATACCAAAATCTGACAGGGGTCCATTTTGCCTGTCCGCTGCCTTTAATTCTTTGTTTCACCATAAATAGTACATCAAAAGTGTAAAAAAAATTTCAACTTAGTGAAAAAAATAAATATCAATTTGGTGAACTAAATAGTCTAGAGGGGAGGGCGCGGAACGCGACAACACTTGCAATGTACGAGCGAGTGGAAGCCCCGCTCATTTTTGTGTATTGTGGAGGCGGAGATTCCATTTTAAGCGCGAAGTTTAGATTTTCGCATTCCGCACTCAGTGATTTTCGATAGATCTTATCTGTAAGCTGAAGTAATTTCTTTTTTCAGATTAATGGATCATTATTTTTTATTAAATTTCAGGTGGGTTACTTTCCCAAAATCTGAAAGAACTTTTACAAAATCTTTTGACTATATATCTCATCTAACCTTTGATTCAACTGGCTTGCGGCTGGAGGGCGGGGTTTCGTGACCTACTGAGCCCGCTCGCGCCCACTACGCAGTCCGCGTCTCTCTCGCGCGCGTGCTCCTGAAGTATCCAGCCTCAGTTAGGTCACGGAGCCCCACCTTCCAACCGCCAAGCCAGTTGAATTAAAGGGTAAGTTTAGCTCTTACTTAAGATTTTATGAGTCGTTTATTGGTGGTAAATATATTAAATGGTGTACTATCTTTGGCAATTTAAAGATAGCTGACCTATTTCTTGTTATATGACAAGACCTTGGAAGCTCTGCTAGAACAATGCAAAACTTCCGCTGTTGCATTTTCTTGGGTTTTCAAAATAATCAAAAATGTAGTCTTCCTAAGCTAACGAATATGGGATTGGTTCGTCCTCAGTTTAGTTCAGTTCATAAATCAAATATGGTTCTTTAAGTTCATCAGTCATAAGGCTGTCTGTCTGTTTTTTCTTTTCATGTACGGGTTGGTATTTACGGGATTTATGGTATTTTTGAAGTCGTGTAAGTTTTTTTGCTAGTCGTGTGAAGCCGCACGTTTATATTGAGGGAATGCGACGATTGTCTCCTACTAAAGAACTGACAGAATATAAGACGCGCTTCTTCAAATACTGTCGCGCATAAATAGCAAAGAAAACCGAAAAAGGGATCAAAATCATCGCCTGCCCTTTATTGACCCATCCTGGAATATGTGCAATATGCCAAAAAAACCTACTTGACTTCAAGTGGACAAATAACTTGTAATTTATTAGTATTTGAGCTTGCACACTACGCGCGGAAATCCATGATTTCCTGTCAGTAATTTGTCAAACTTATCTAGCGGAACACATGGTTAAAATATGTTTTATCACTCAGACAAATGACCGGAACTTCCGCAGAATATTTGGGAGTTCTGCTGGTTACCTGTGGAAGTTTCGTAAACGTGCTGCGAAGGCTCCCAAGTGAGGTGCTGCGAAAGTTCCAAAGGATGCGGACATGTTTGACAAAGCATTCTAGTTGTTGGCTAGACAATATCGTAAGAGATAACACATCTAAAACCCTGCGAAAGTACTGACAGGCCAAAGTGCTGCGAAACTGCTGACGTTTTCGGAATTTTCTTAGCGTTTTGTAAGAAGTCATGCGGAAGTTCCCATTTTCGAGGTTTTATGTGTTAGTAGGCAAAGTCCTGCAGAAAGCTGGAAATTTGACTTGTCTTGCGGAGGTTCCGGTAAATTGTCTGTGAGTACCTGATATTTGTTCAGTCAAGCTAAAAAAAGAAAATAAGCAAATAGAAAACAAGAGCAAATCTCCAGAAAATAAGGCTAATTTATGGTTATGGTACATCACTGCATCGAAAACTTCTGTCGCATATAGAGTCTTTTGCATGCTGGCTGGGAATTTGGTTCAGGGAATTGAGGGAATTTAATCTAGAGCTAGTGTGCACGAGATTTCTGATACTAAATAAGAAGTCTTGCACTTTTAAAAAAAAAATTTTATATACGTTCAAATCTGCTTCCGTTCAAGTTTTATTTTCAGTTAGCTGCCGATGTACATGCTTCAGCTCTAGATGGACAAGCTAATAAGTATATGCACAACAACGATTCAAACCTCTACAGGGCTAATTCCGGTAACCATGCTCAATTAGTACAAACGCCCAACAAATCTGTGAACTATTTACCTCAGGTTTGCAACACTCCAAAGAGTTTTTTTGGCATTCTTTATACCAAATTTACAGGGGGAAGTGAAAGATCCGCAAAAGAACTACATGAGACCACCACGAAAGAGTAGAAAGGTTTGTTTCCAAATCATATTTTGCATATAAACTAGTTCAAAGCTTAGACGGTACTTTTCCGTTATCCGGACCCATTTTTTCAAAGAAGGATATTGCTTTTTTTTCTTATACCATAGTTGCTCTTATATTCACACGAAGGAAGTGTCAACCTTCTGCCACGTGTCAAAAAAATTTGACATGTGATCCACATGTTTAGCAGGTTTTACCAAGAGTTTGTATTGCCCTACCTACTGACTTAAGTTCAATCGATTTTTCAATCAATAATGACCCCATTTTCGAGTAAAACAATTTCAAAAATAAATGTCAATATGATTATGACGTTATCCTATTATTAATGAACAGATTGGACTTGCCCAGAATTGAGAATTGTGATGGATTCTCATCATTTTAGCGGCGAAACAAGCAGTAGCGAGGTACTTCAGCCATCATTTACGGTCTATCTTGGTTAAAATCGCATGGCGGACAGAGTTTGTAGAAAAAGACATTTGGAATCTTTCCTAAAAGCAATACATGTCCTAATATAAGTTCTAAATTGTTTTTCTCTTACAGAAACCGTTAACCAGCTTTTAGGTGATCGTAAATGCTCTTTTACCTCATGGCGAATACTTTCGAAAAAAAACATGTCAAATTGGACCAAAACATGTCAATTTTTTTCTGACACGTGGCAGGGAGGCGGTCCTCGTAGATTCTATAAAAAATTGCCCTCAAACTAAATAGCGCATTCATGAGAGCCTTTGAAAAAATGGGTCCGGATAACGGAAAAGTACCGCTTAGACATTACCATATCTCATTTGTTTGTAAGCGATGAAAATGTAGAAAAATACCTCCTTAGTACTTCCTCCTTTTCATTCCAGCTGTAGCAAAAATTTCGATTTTCACTACCGAGAATAAAGTATATAGAATCATTTTTTCAGAACGAGTTCTACGAAAATATCATAGTTCATTTCGATCTGAAGGGAGCACCACCTCGGGTACCGTACTTTATGGAACTGCTCGATCTTGTTGCACGAGCTGGAGCTACAGGTAAGATACTGTAGGATCAATACAACGCTCATATGTACCTAAATAAAAGTCTGATTCCGGACGGGAAGGAGGGGGGAGAGGGAGAGGTAAAACTACGTTCGTATTAATGTATTATTATCTACTATTTATTATCTATTACACATGATTTTCATCATCCTCATCCTGACTTCACAATTTTTCGAAAAAAAAACGAAAAAACTAAGTTTGCGGCAGTCGATTTATCGATTAACGATAATCCAGACTATATTACTTATAAAGTTATACTTGATTTACTCTAAAAACAAAGAAAGGTAAAAATGCAATCGTATTGATTAACATAATGATAACTACCTGGTTTAACTACAGTTATATCAAAAATTAGAAAGATATAAAAAATGCGATCGATATATTGATTAGCATACGGTAACTATTAGGTTGTCCGGAAATTAATGTCCGTTTTCGTTTTCAACCGCCATAGTTCGTACATGTTGCATTTCTGAATAGGCTTCAAGATACCATTCGACAGAGCAAAGCAAGTCCTACAAGACGGCGATCTTGATTTAGCAACAGCTTTGATTCACATCGAGTTTCAAGCCAAAAACTAAAAAATTCAACTGCCCGAAAAATCGAGAAAAATCATAACTCAGTTCATAAGAATCTTTCAAAGATTCTAACTTGCTCACGTAAACACTATCCACATAAGACATATATGTACGCCATTGCCGCATTTTTTCCTCTGTTAGAAATCAAGAAAACGAAAATTTCCATGCCTTTTCCAGAGTGAGGCTGTGTCGTCCCCACATAAGTAGATGTGTACTACAAATCTGTAGAAGTACAGACGTAAATTCTCAGCTCTTCACAAGCTTTAGTTCTCGAGATATATTGAATATAGCTTTCATTAGTCAGGTGGTCCAAGCTAAAATTCAAATTTCTCGAGAACTAAAATAGAGAGTTGAAAATTTACGTTTGCACTTCTACAGGCTTGTAGTATACATCTACTTATGTGGGGACGACACAGCATCACTTCAGCAAAAGCATGGAAATTTTCGTTTTCTTGATTTCTAACAGAGGAAAAAATACGGCAATGGCGTACATATATTCTTATGTGGATAGTGTTTACGTGAGCAAGTTAGAATTTTTGTAGGATTCTTTTGAAGTGAGTTATGATTTTTTTCGATTTTTCAGGCAGTTGAACCTTTTTAGTTTTTGGCTCAAGACTCGAGATGGGTCAGCCATCTTGTAGAGCTTGCTTTGCTCTATCGAATGCTATCTTGGAGCCTAATCAGGAGTGAAAAATATATGACTTATTGCGGTTGAAATTCAAAACGGACATTAATTTCCGGACAACCTAATACCTAATCCAGGCTGTATCAATTTGAAACTTATACAAGTCAATACCTGACTTCCTTATGCTTCTGATACGTTGACAATATCATTCATTACATTTTGAATAAATTTTTAGGGGTCCTGCTAGAATGGGAAGAAATGTTTCCATGGAAAGGTCGATTAGCAGTGGCAAGAGGTGCTGAGGCATACTCACTCAATGACGTACGGGCTATACTATTCAAAGCAAAGTTGGTCTTCGGAATTAGGAAAATTCTTTTCTTTTAAAATTTTAATTTCAGGAGCCTAAATCTTGACATAATTCCGCTGGTGCAAACGTTTGGTCATTTGGAATGGTTTTTGAAGTTAGAAGAGTTTCGAAAGTACAGGGAGAATGATGCCTATCCGCAGGTAAATTGTTCATCCTAACCATGAGTTTTTGCAATACCTGAGAATAGCAGGTTTTAGGTACTATGTTTGGGTGATCAAGATGGTGTTGCTATAGTCAAGGAGGCTCTGAAGCAAGTGATAGATGTCCACAAGGAGTTCGGCATCAAATATTTCCATATCGGAGCGGATGAGGCATTCGAGGTTTGGAAATTTTCAAAAAAATTAGTCTCAGCAGTGGCAGGCAATTGTGGGTGTTTGACGTAAAAGAGATAGGGAATGACAGGGACTTTCGATTAAGAAATGTCGAAAAGAGCCATGCTCATCAAAATTTCTGAAATAAGAACTAGTTATTTTGATTTTGGAGGAAATAATAGGTCTGTTGCTTTCTAAATATCTTAATTGACCAATGCCAAGTAGGTTGGATAATGATGGCAATAGGCTTCCCATGCGGACAACTGGTAGACACGGTAATCTGAGAGAGGTATATGGTCTGTGACGCTTGTCCGCTCGAGCCTGGCCTGTCGGCGAAGTAACAGTCCTACTCTAACAGAAGATGAATGATCTTCCTGCTTTAAAATACTTGTCGACTACAAAAGGAATTTACCTGGATTTTATCAGGTTTGAAAATTTTTTAGGGGAAGGGGCGAGAAAGAAGACTTATCTTATTCCCGAAGAGGAGGGGGGGACATGCTTCACCCTAATTTTTTTGCTAGTTTACTTTTTAGTTTGGAGTTTGCGAAAAATCACGTAACTGGATCCTTTCTAAAAAAGGAGCTGATAAACAACTTCTGGCACTGACCCATAACTTCTGGCACTGACCCATTTGAAGGACATCGCTGAGTATGTAAGAAGCCAAACGGATGGAGCAACGTAAGCAAAATTTTCTTGATGGGAAAGGGGGAGATAAAGCTTTCAATTTTTTTTTATGAATTCTAAAGGAATTTTTTCAGAGTCCTCGCCTGGCATGATATGCTGAAGGAGTTTGACCTAAGCCTTATTGGTTTTTTGGGACTCGGACGAATCATTGAGCCAGTCATTTGGGACTATTCTGAAGAGGTCACAATGCCAGGTTCAGTATCATTCTGATTGGGCCAGATGTGGGGTGTCGCATATCGGCGATTCACTGCACGCAGAGACAGGACGCCATCGCTGTCGGCGTCTCTCACATCAGACACACTTTCATCCCCTTAGCTGTCTGTGCCTCCCCTTAATGCGTGCTGTCTTGAACGGAGCAGCGGGGTCCAATTTCTATGCACGATAAATTGTTTGAATATTTTTTTTAGAACAAGCCTTTTCTGCACTGGCTGATAATTTTCCGATTGTGTGGGCGTCTTCTGCTTACAAAGGGGCGAACTTCCCTTCTGCTAAGTACATTGATATATTGCATTATGAAACGAATAATAATGCTTGGATTGAAGCAAAAAGGTAAGGAGAACCTCTTCAAGTAATTTCGGATATGATGTTCTGTTCTTAGACTTACGAAGGTAAATTCGAGAAATTCCACGGCATTATTCTGGCGGGATGGCAGAGGTAAGACAGAACTTTTCCATTATATTAGGTTGGTGCAAAAATAATGTCCGTAGCTTGCAATTTCATGATGCTAAAACTGATTTCACTCGAAAAGCAAAGCACATTCTAAACGTAATTTTCCTGTCATCCTTCCAAACGCTTGTATTACATGATATTTCAGCTGGAGAAAATTTGGGGTATATGTCAAGATGAACGATAGCTGGTAACAGTGGCGCGCGGGGTCATGAACTGGCAATAACGCGTTCGCTCGAAGCTCCGCCCTACTGCGGCGGACGTAGTTTCTCGGACGATATGTCAAGTAGTATCTCACTTTTGATAGTGAGATATAAGCTTGTTGCAAGCTGGGGTGAAGCTTGACTGTTTACAGAATCTTGTTTGATTTTTAGTTTCTTTTTTGGGAATCAATGAGAACAGCTGTTGTTTTGATCGTGAAATTTGAGAGATTTGCTGATTTACCAATGAATGACCGAGCACTTCTGGATGTCGAACTTTGAAGTGTGAAATCAATCTAGAACACCTCAGGCATGATTGTCTGAGTGACCTCACATCTTACGACTAGTTCACACGCAATTTCGATATATTGAGGATAGCAGTTTTTGGAAGCAAAATAAAGGAATTTTGTTATTTAAGGCAGTTTCGGAAATATATAGGTGCAGTATGATTCTCCTGAAACCTAAGAAAATTTATGTGAAATGACGCATATTTTCAAAACGAGTTAGTTCGCTTGAAACAAAATTCGCCTATAATGCTTGTTTTGAATTCTCGTCGCAATGAAATCTGTTTTTAGTTAATATTAGGGTTTTAAATCTTACTTTTCCGATAGAACATATAATGGTGTTTCATTTCATACGCTGAATTTTTTTCAAAACTGAACTTGAGAGTGCACATCAAAGCATCATAACTTATAATAACGGGCTAAGGGCTGTTTACGTTTGTCTGTGTGTGTGTGTGTGTGTGTGTGTGTGTGTGTGTGTGTGTGTGTGTGTGTGTGTGTGTGTGTGTGTGTGTGTGTGTGTGTGTGTGTGTGTGTGTGTGTGTGTGTGTGTGTGTGTGTGTGTGTGTGTGTGTGTGTGTGTGTGTGTGTGTGTGTGTGTGTGTGTGTGTGTGTGTGTGTGTGTGTGTGTGTGTGTGTGTGTGTGTGTGTGTGTGTGTGTGTGTGTGTGTGTGTGTGTGTGTGTGTGTGTGTGTGTGTGTGTGTGTGTGTGTGTGTGTGTGTGTGTGTGTGTGTGTGTGTGTGTGTGTGTGTGTGTGTGTGTGTGTGTGTGTGTGTGTGTGTGTGTGTGTGTGTGTGTGTGTGTGTGTGTGTGTGTGTGTGTGTGTGTGTGTGTGTGTGTGTGTGTGTGTGTGTGTGTGTGTGTGTGTGTGTGTGTGTGTGTGTGTGTGTGTGTGTGTGTGTGTGTGTGTGTGTGTGTGTGTGTGTGTGTGTGTGTGTGTGTGTGTGTGTGTGTGTGTGTGTGTGTGTGTGTGTGTGTGTGTGTGTGTGTGTGTGTGTGTGTGTGTGTGTGTGTGTGTGTGTGTGTGTGTGTGTGTGTGTGTGTGTGTGTGTGTGTGTGTGTGTGTGTGTGTGTGTGTGTGTGTGTGTGTGTGTGTGTGTGTGTGTGTGTGTGTGTGTGTGTGTGTGTGTGTGTGTGTGTGTGTGTGTGTGTGTGTGTGTGTGTGTGTGTGTGTGTGTGTGTGTGTGTGTGTGTGTGTGTGTGTGTGTGTGTGTGTGTGTGTGTGTGTGTGTGTGTGTGTGTGTGTGTGTGTGTGTGTGTGTGTGTGTGTGTGTGTGTGTGTGTGTGTGTGTGTGTGTGTGTGTGTGTGTGTGTGTGAATCTCTGTCTGTCACGAAATTCTTAGAGCGAGTTCTAGCAATGGTCTTGAGTTAAAATTTTGGCCATAGCACTCTATCAGCATGTAGGTAAAGTGTGCAAAAGCACAAGCCGATCCGATAAGTGGAACATATGAAAATTGTGCGCCAAATGGATCCATGCGACTTCTGGCGCGTCAAAATGGGCCTGTAATTGGATTTTTTCCAAAGTCGTGGAATTATCTAACATGTAACTCTGTAAATCATGGACTCTAGCGCAAAAAGTGAACAAAACATCTACTTTCACGCAAGATCGGCGGCTAAAAGGAAAAATTGCGTAGATAGTCGATTTGTGAAGGATTTACCTAAGAATTCAAGAAGATTTTTGCTTAGAGATGTAACGCACGGTTGTCATCATCCTTATGGCGACTACCAAACCATTATAACTTCAGTAAGCGATTCAAACCCACGATTTATCTTTTGAAGAGTACTTTCGTCCTCTCAAAATCGCCGATCTTACATAAAAAAAGCTTTTGAAATGAGTAGTTGTTTACAGTTCATTCCCGATGTTCGGCATCGCGTGGTAGGTTTCAAAAACATTATTTTATGAGTTCGAGGAAGGCACGTGGATAGAAGGACCAGTGCGAGCCTCTGCGAAGCAGAGGTGACGCACTGGTATTCAATATGGTAACAGACAATTTCCTTATACCTGCAATGAAAAATCATTTTGGATAAGCCTACTAGGAACAAATAACTGAAACACATTAAAAAGAGCTTGCGAACTAATTCTGTAATGAAAAATTCTGAAAACTGATATTCAATTCAACTGAAATTTTGAAAACTACTGTTATCCAAATTGCAACCAACTGAAGAAGCATGAACGAAGTATTAGAGAGTTTTCCAATAGCTGCAACACATTCCTAGGCTAATTAACAAGGGGGCGGAGCGATCAGAGCACCGCGTACGGTACCCAGCTGGCGGCTGCCACATGCTATCGTTCATCTTGACTGCCACCCAAAAATTTGCATTGCTAGGGGCGTGCCATTTGTTTACCGTTTTGTAATTTTGGTGCGAGAAAATTACAGCAAGTGCACATATGAATGTTGTCATATATCTGCTATGTGAGCCAACTGGAATTCAATGTAGTCGCTCATAGATTTGGTTTCAAATTTTACGTGGACCAAGATTTAGGCAGATAGCTTCAGGTGAAGTAAGAGGAGGAACTTTGCATTGCTTGCTTTTGTCTGCTGCATGCCCTTCCTCCTCCCCCTGGAGAAGTTTTGCACATTTTGGCCCCTCTAGCCATAGGTACGGGTAGCGGGGGATATGGCGCAGTCATGACCCAATCTGATTAAGTTTTACCCCCTCTCTCTGGGCCAAAACGTGCTTTAACTTCCGCCTGGCCTTGGATTGTCAAAATAGACTGAGTAGAGCACTCGCGTGGTAAATAACTGAGCCCTGTGAATTTTCAGCTTATGTCTTTATCTGGGTCTACTCCTTGATGTTCGATGTTGTCGAAAGCTTTTCGTAGTTGACGAAGGCTAAAAGGCAGTCGGTATTCCCGGCAGACTTCTATGATCTCCGAAACCTTCTGCATGTGTCCACACAGATGAACCCTAAATCATCAATTTTGCTAAATCCAGCTTTTTTTGGGGCTAAGATTCGCTCAGTGTCCAAGTCCGAACGAGAATAACTTTTTAAAAATCTTGTACACCACACTCTGCAGGCATATTGGGCGGTATTTTCGAAGATCCTTCCATTAGTCTTTAGAAGTGGACAACAGCTGGAGTGTCAGGAAGAAGTCAGAGGCCCGTTTTCGTTTAAAATTGCCAATACGTAATATTCACTGTAGTCAATGCGGCACTTCTTAGGGCTGCGTCTTCCTTCGAGTACTTTCGTATCTTGGCTTGCCTGTTCTTCCTGAAATCCTCTTGAGAAAGCTGTTCTGCAACTGGCTTTGGCCATCAGTCGCTGGTGGGCTGCACTCGGATCATGTCTCAGAAATCTTCTTCTTTCGAACAATTCCTGACTTCGAAATGCGTTCTAAGTTCTTCTCAAAAGTCACAATCCTTTCAGAGCCGGTCGTAGTCGTACGCTGGGTCCTCCTCGATGTTCTAGTCACAACTTGATATGAGCTCTTCTAACCTGTCACCGTCATAAACGACTTCTTTCCTTCTTGCGGCACAGTGGCAGACCTCTTTTCCAGCTTTTGACTGAATCGTACCTTCGCTCGAAGGAAGCGGTGATCGGAGCCACTGCAGAAATATGGAACTACTGAGACATCAAGCAAGTTCCACCTTCGGTTGGTGAGAATGTGGTCGATCTTCGCGTGAGTCGTTCCGTTGGGCGATTCGCAAGTCCACCGGCAATGTTCTTTCTTCATGAAGATGGGATTTCCATGGAAAAGTCGTGAGGCGGAGAGAAACCCAACGAGACGGTTGCCGTTTTCGTTCCGGAACCCATATCCAAACTTCCCGGTTCTATATTCCTTTCTAGTGGCATCCCGATCTTCGCGTTGAAGTCGCCCACAATGAATTTGTAGAAGGATTTCTCATTGCGAACGACCTGCTCCACGTCTTCGTAGAAACATCTAGTTCTGAATCGTCAGCTGCTGACGTTGTTGAGTAGCAGTTGATAATCTGGTAGCCTTCTCACGCGGGGGTCGTAGTCGTAGGATGGCTAGTCGAGGTAACAAGATCTTATTCGAATCGACAAGATGGACGATAGATGGGTGGACGAAAAGCCAACACCTTTAACGTTCGGGATAAGACTTTCTTACCACAAATGGCGAAGGTCATTAAACAGTCTAACGTTCTTCTTTCTAATCTTTTCTCCTCAGGGATGTGGTACTTGATGTGCTCTGCAGCGTCGATGAGAGTGTGCGAAGGGAGTCTGTGGAGACTACTGACATTTTAGGTGCAGAGCATGAGGCAAACTCCATAGCTGTCGTCCCGACGTGTCATTTTTGTCCAATCCAGGGGCGGTACCTAGCAATCTTATATATAAAGCTGAATGTCTGTTTGTATGTCTGTCTGTATGTGTGTGTACGTATATTCCGAATAGAAACTTCCATTTCTGAACCGATCCGGACCAAACTTTGCACACATACACTTCGGGGCCGGGCGGATGTCACAGGCTACTTTTCGTCATCGATCGTTATCGATGTTATTGATTTTTCAAAAAGTTCGAGCTACGGGGCTGAAGTTGGCACGGGGGGGAGGGTAAGTGAGCATGCTGATTACGAATATATTATTGGCAGAACCGGGCGGAGCCGGGTTTGCCAGTTAGTTTCCTATATGGTAAGGGGTTCCTGCAGAGATCACAGACCCATAGGCGTGGGCACTGGCGGCCGCGATATACGAAGCAGGGCCCGGCACGAGGTGGGCAAATGACAAGCTGGAAATCGTTTTGGGGCCAAACAAAGGAGATATCGTTTTTGCGGGATCCGGGGCGGAGCCCCGGAAGAAGATTCCAAGTGCAAGCAATAGAAGGTCGAATCATGGTTACTTTATACATCTAATTCATCGGAAAATAGTTTTCATAAACCTCAACGCACAGCAGACTTCGCGCGCACTACGCCGCGTTGCCGCTAATTGCAGCGTGCGCGACGTCGCGCGATGCCGTTGAACAGCATGATTACATGATCAGTTCTCAATGCAGGCGTAAAGATATAGCACCAGATTACGTAAGCGAACAAAGAGAGGGTTAGTAGAAACAAAGCATGAAATGTTACGAAAAACTTATGTGAATGGGAGGTGTAATAAGCATTTTTTCCAAAAATTTCGCAAAACTGGTAAATGAAGATGTGAATTCAAATGGCTCGTTTGCAGCGCACAGATGACCATACGGTATGAAACTTGGTGGGTACATGGACACGGGCCTGTAGGGCTTATCTTAGAAGTTTCATTGAAAATTTATGTGAATGAAGGTTGTGGCAAGCTTTTTTCTGAAAATTTCCCACTATCAAGAAAATGGGAAAATGGCTCGTTTGCAGCGCAGAGAAAACGAAATCGCGCGGGACTTGGTGTGTATACGCGCAGTACGACTAAGGAACAATGTATGAAAAATTATGAAAAACTTATGTGAATGAAGAGCGTGCTTAACTTTTATCCAAATTAGGTGGGCAATTGCCCGCCTAATGCCCACCTGAGGTGATCAAAACTTTCAATTCACATAATTTTTTTTTTAAATTTTACATAAATCTATTGTTCACCTAAAGTATAATATATGGTGAGATTTTGGTTCGACAACTCCTCCTTTTGTCTTTGTTAGAGCCCAGAATCTCATCAGCAGCCTAGCTTTCTAAGATGGAAAGCGCGCCCCAGTCGATCGATACGCGCGGGAACGGCGTCTCAGTCCTATGACTGCGTTCCTTTGATATTTTTTCATTCCTTCATCATTTTTCTTGCTTATTCTTCTTCCTGTTTTCTATCTTGACACAGATGAGGAGTAATTAGAGGAATTTGAGCATTTTGGGCGCTTTTGAGCGCTTTTAGGCGAAGTGTGGCCGGTGCTGTCGTTCCACAGCCACAAAGCGTCATTTTTGGGCTCAAGGGGGTATTCGTAAAAACTATTGGGGTCAAAGGGGAATTCGTTTTGGGAAACCCCGTCTGCCCACCCTCGTGCCGGGCCCTGATACGAAGCAAAGCTGGTGATCTGACTCTTGTCTGTTTGAAGACATGGAATCTGGGAAGTTAGGGCTTGTCGGGCACGGCAGGTGCCCGATCATGCCCGATCTCGACAGGTCGAACCTTACTGCCCGTTTGGGCCAAGCGCCCCAACTTTCATAGATTATGGGATGGCGAGAGCCTGTCCGGGCACTTGTTAATAATGGCGCGAACAGCGTGTAAGAAATTGCCAAACCGGGGTGGAATCCGGGAAGTCAACTCGTGTAGCAATAAAGCAACTCCGCGACGAGATTTCTCAGATCAGGTGCTTGCCATCGCCAAGCAACCAATCGCGGTGTATGAGGAGCCTAAGGCCACGCCTACTTATTCGTTCATTCTAGTTCATACACCTTGCCAAAAAACAACCCATGAATGTTGCGTTTGCTTCGAAGCTATGAAGTGGAAGTTGGTTGAGTCTAGCGTTTGCCCAAACTTTTAGGGTTGGGTCATTATAATGGCGTTCGCGACCTAGCTTCGTGCTGCCAGCGCTTGCAAAGGCGTACAGAAAAGGTTGTCTGCGCCATTGTAACTTCTTCCATTTTCGAAACCACACGCAGAATAGCCCGTGTTACCATGCCTATGTGAGCGCCTGCAGCCATAGCGGGGGGGGGGGGGGGTGCGACCTACTCTGGCCAAGTTTGACCCAGCCTTTGCGGCTGATAGAGCAGGTTCGAAAGGATGTACCTATCCAGATTATTAGAATAAATGACTTCTTGCTTACCAATAGCTTAAACCAGTTGATGATATCTTTCAAAGCAGTTGTTAGATTCTATCACAGAAGTGTCCTAGCTTGCCTCAACAATCAGTGCATAAAAGTATCGCTTTTTAGATACGATCACATGGCTGCAATATGTGAGACCTTACCGGTAGGTACTCTATCAATGGTGTTGAATGTGCAAGTCGCATTGTTGGGCAGGAAAGTAAGATTGTTTTCTCAAATAAATCTTCACTTAATCATGGCAATGCATAGGATCAACATTTGGCAAGGGATAGAGCAGCCCAAATTCTTGGCTGTAACCGGTTCTACGTGGGCGGTTTAGATCTGGTCAGCCAGAGCTGTAACTTTACAGGTATTATACCATTCCAAAAAAGTTCATCTTAAGTTGGATTCAATTTACAGGGTTTCAAGTGTATTCCTTGTTCCAAGGATCTGCTAGGAGTACGATCAAGTATATAGAATCAGAACTTGACAAAAGCCATTCAATCAAAGGTTGGCTGTCGCCATACAGCATGCGGTACAATTTTACTCAGAACTGGTAAGCATTTGTGATTTTTAGTTGCTTTATGGACAAAAATAACTCACAATACAATGACTGTATCATGTTGAATGTCTAATATTGTGAACTATGAAATGTTTAGGTATCTCAAGGACATCAAGAACCTTGTGCAAATGCTACAAATGGAAATAAAGTCAATAGAACAAGCACTGAGGTATTTCCGCAGTTTGTTTTATGGCTCATCCTATATAGGCTTTGCTTCAGAAGAGAGCTTTCAATGTTGTTTTTTCCAAATACCGTGGACGAATTCATATATCTTTCAATATCACCAACCATAGATCGATTGAAGAAGTATGAAGACGAAATTGAGAGGCTCTCGAAAATACGATCATGGCCGAAACGGCCATTCCCAATCAAAAGCTAGCTTGAAGTTTAGAGCACGCAATCTTACAAGGGAAGGATACTTGATCGAAGTGGCGTTTTTATATGAAATGTATACCGTTTTATTAGGCATGGAACGCTGATTCCAAATCTTTCATTATGTGCAAAGCGCTTCTAGGAGGGCAGTTCTGGGAATTTTTGAAGCAAAAATTTCAACGCGCAACTACAAGAAAATTATCCAAAACTGTAGTATTTGAGCTCAGATGGGCCATAATCACTGTCAGGGCGTTTTATATAGGTAATATCTTCAGTTTAATAAAATTATGCTATTCAGTGCTCCTTTCAAACACCGGGGGGGGGGGGGGGCTCAACATTTGTTTTTAGCTCACCCAAACCCTTGAACTTTTGCCTCAAAATATTCCCACAACTCCCCTCCAAGAAGCGCTTTGCAGATAGCGTGAGTAGATTTGGAATTAATGTTTCATGCCCTATAAGATCGTATACATTTCATATGGAAACTCCACTTCGACCAAGTATCCTCCCCTTGTTAGACATGAATTGATTTATTTGTTTCGAATTATTACTTAGCTTGAAGTTGTTATTCTGCTTGCTATGGTTTTGTTTTTTCGGTGGGCCTTCATAGTTTTTTTTGTCAAAGTATCTATTCAAAATTCCATATCAACGTCAGGACATTGTTTTGGTTTTGTTTATCACACTGTATGAGCTTTAAGCACATATACTTCCTCCCAGACTACAATGAAAATCATCATTAGCCTCAAACACTAGTATAAGCTCATATCGAACACTCGTTGTATTACGATTACGTATTACATATCCTTCGGCATACTACGTCGGGTATTTATGTGCAGCACACCGAAAGCTTGACTGTCCATCATTACGTTCACTGTGAATTCATCCAACTCACATTTGCTTTTCAATTTGTCGGGTCGATATTGTCTTGTTTAGCGTGTAAAAAGTGTCTTGTAAACTCATATTGCTATATGTTATAAACACATTGAATTGAATAAAACTTTCCTAGCGCTTTCTGTCACGACATAATGGTGACCGTACAAGTAACTGCAAAACTCCACGTTGAATGTTGCGTCTAGCAACTTAATATTGCACAAGTCAGCGGCAAATGAGGGCTATCCTATGGGCGACATAGTTTTGCTTATATTACACGTTGTGTACCATGATGGAATCATCCGCTTATGAAGGTAGTGACCGGGCAAGCTTGGGGTATGTGGAACCTTAGCCAAGTAGAAGTGGACCGCCGCAGGCACATCTTCACTTATGCGGCATACGTTGGACCACAAGAAGCGCTTAAAGGCAAGGTCCCAACTGGGTCGGGGGTTTTGAGGTTTCACTCGCACAAAAGTATCCGCCCCAACAAACCCACCAGCCCTATCGCGTGCACATTTCGTAGAAACGGAAGCGAGAAAAATGCTCGGAAGTCGAGAGAGTTATGCCACGACCGGAAGGCCCCGCATATTGTGGGATAAGTCGATAGTGTATCGCACACGTAGGGGCCCACCACGACTCTGCGTCCGTAACTCGGTGGCAGGCGTCTATCAAAATCGGGGGCTTCTGAAATAGCCCGTTTTCAACAATTTCGTACTCTGCAAGCCGCATTTTCGCAATCAGCGGGAAGGTAAGCCCAAGTAAGCGAAGAAAATTTTGTTCGAAATCTTGCCCGGACGATGCCTTTAATAAGTTGAGGGACCTACTCCCTAAGGAAACGCTTCGCCCACCTGCGGATTCCAAACACTGCAAGCTAAAGCGTGCATGCCGCCAATTACAATGTTAGGAAAGTACAGCAACCATAGCTTCGCTTTGCATTCCCTAGCAAGGTAAGCAACACTGCATTTCCAGCATCCCACCCTCTCGGGTTCTTTCTGCTCGTTGCTTCGACACTTTTGCAAGCTAGCTACAGTCTCGCTATCCTTCTTGAGTTTGGAGTTTTCGCATCGCATTTCAAGTACGACTCCTGTGGCGGCATCTTTCGTCCAGCCTTGTACTTAGTGTCCAATACGGTTAAGAGTTGCTGCGTGATTCCAGCTCCTTTTCAGCTCTTTGGGCCAACCATCCATAACATTCATGTGGCTCCATCTCTGCTAGTTCATGGAACTCCACTTTCTCCTATAATTCGTTCACTCTTCTGGCGAGTATTCTCGAAACCAGTTTTTCTAGCTTCAAACACTGGGCAAACACATACACAACATTGTAATTGACATCTGTCAAATAGCTGCTTTAGTGTTGCCAACGTCACTCGAAATTTGATTGTTGCTGCCTGCTTGGGTAGCGTATGCCTTTAATATTTTTTGAAAGTATCCCTGTCCGGCCTTTTGCGCAGCGGTCCCACCATGGCGCTCTCTTTAAGCTGTTCCGCGTCTTCTCCAAACCTTGTAGCGCATACTATCTGGGAGCACATTTCCACTTTGGGGTCGCTGTAGAAACTTTCGAAACTTTTTTGTTGTCGAGATTTTTCAAAATCTGCATCAAACCGTATAAAATCTTCAAGATCCGCAGGCTTAGGACTCTATTATCACTGTACAGGATGTCCCAAAAGTAAGATAAAGTAAGTGCACATTTTTGATAGTTAATAACTCTCCTCTCACAAAGTCTTTCGCATACCTTAAGCTACCGTTCAGGCTTCAACTTAAATATCCACCATATTACTGCAGGAAAACGGAAAGAACTTCCAGCATAAAGCGCCATTGTTAAATAGGCCGGTTAAAGGCAGCGGCTCGGCAGATTCTCGACTTGAAGTTTTTTTAAAGCTTTCCTGGGGTAATTGGAGGCGCTGATTCCAAAAATCCACTTTGAACAGCGCGAAAATGGCAAAAACCACCATTTTTCAAGGCCTCCCATTTTATATTTGAAAGAGTGAAGCGCGTCCCGCCATGGTTAGAGAGGCAGAATCGTTGCGGGACGCAGTTATAACATTGCGGAATGCCTTCTTTGACGGGTCAGGGAGAATTGCAAGCTCGCCCGCGCGTACTAGAACGGCTTGCGCGTAACGCAGTTTTCTAGGCAAGAGCAGCATGCTCTGCGCTCGGACCTGCTCTCTCATATTTGGGGTGCAAGCAACCTCCCATGTCAAAATTTTGGGATGTTCTTTGGCGAGCTGCTTTCTTCGAAAAAAAAGTTCGAAAAAATCTGGAAAGTTGTTTGAAAGCGTTTTCGGACATGCTCGTTTAATTAGAAAACTTTTTACGCTTTGTAAGCGTTCTAATTTTAATAGCGTTTAACTACATTGTTAAAAAAATACTGAAAGAATGATGCTGCGGTTTATTTGGCATAACTTATGAGAAAAGCTTTACGCTAAAATGACTTTCATGATCATAATCAGCGACTCATTTAGTCAATGATATAGTTTTCGGCTTGTTAAGCATACATTCCGGGGCATTATGTAGCAAGTGAAACTTAAGACCCCCTTCAAAGTTCTTATCGTATTCCTAAATCATGGAAGCGATGGATGATTCGCTCCACAACGTAATTCTAAATTAGAGCTCATCAAAAGGTGCTTGAAGCTTAGCAAAATATGTACTTTGTGGGAAGAGAGCTTTAAGCATTGAAAAGTTCATACTTACTTTTGTGCTAGTATTACTACTGTAAGTACTTACTTACTTCACTTTCTTTTTACAACCTTTGTTTTGATTTTGCTCAAATCAAGCAACTACAACTTAAGGAAACGTTTGTAGAGTTTGAGGTAAAAACCCTTGTGTTTAAAAATTTTGCTTTTATTTCACCAATTTTTAGAAGATTTGGATAAAAGATATAACTGCTGGAAAGAAATGAATAAACTGCGTTAGGTACATTCGGAGCACTTGTCTGGCAACATCCATTTTATTTGAAGATAGTTCAATAAAAAAATATTAAGCTCTACTTACTTTTGACTCACCTTGGTAGTCTAAGTGCTTTTCTTGGTTCAGCTTGCAGTTCATTAAAGTTGCAACAAACCAATGACCACTTGACTTTGAGAAGCAGCTGAATATTACGCTTACCATACAGTCTAGAAAGGAAAGCACATGAGTCGCAATTTGGTGAACTAAAAGAAAACATAAAGTGCGAATGCGCACTCTATCGCCTGTTTCAATTTGGCAAGTTTGTAGTGACGGTGCTCCAAACACGATGTTGATGAATCTTAGCACGAAGCTGATCTCTGCGATATTCTTTTTAAGCCTGTTCAACGGCCCTAGGAGTGCATCGCAGGCAATGCAATGGCGACAACATTTATCTAACAACTGTTAAGGCTAGTAGAACTAATAGCTCGTAAAGCTCTAGAGGCCCTCCGGATCATCTCCAAAAGCCCAAAAATGAACCGTAAAGACGAATGCATTGCCGCGAACAGAGAATTGGCCCTACCAAATCCTCTGTGGATTCTGATTTACGAGGACAGGGCCAGATAAGTTCATAAAGAATAAAAAGTAGCGGCGCACTTCGCATACAGTTGTCCACTCACATCATAGCTCTCTCGGTAAGCGCTGACTCAGGTTCTCAAGTCTCTGTTGCTGTTTCAGGTCCTATGACGCTGGGTTATATCTTGCCATTGGATAGGTGTTTGAGAGAATAGCGTAAATGTTTGGAACCTTTCCAGGCTCTAAGGCGACGACGCCGGACCGTTGACGTAATAACTGCTTAATAACAATCCTGATAGACTGAAGGAGAACGAAGCGGTGATCTATCAGGGTGTTCGGAAAGCAATGGGACAGCTTGTTTTTTTATAGTTCGAAACTTTTTCTTCCGATCAACAATAAGCAGGCTGCAATTCAGGCTTCACTTACATAAGCGACCTTTGCAAATCATTGTGGTAACGCGCTACGGCTCCTCTCTCACAACCCTAGCGTGGCACCTCGATGAACTCGAGCAGGAGTTCTTGAACACCTTTCTGTTCTTGCTGCTATACCGCAGAGTCATGGTGCCAATGACATACCATCCGAAAGCTCTTCAAGCTCTCGCGAACGATGTATTCGCAGCATTTGTAAGTTCTTTTTGCTTTTAGGTAAAAAGGGCGAAAAACTTTGAATTTGCGATTTTTGTTGCAATAAAAGGCCAAAAAATCATATTATATCCCATATGTTCCGAAGACGTACGAAAGTTAAGGTAAAACTGCATACGGATAGATAGAGCACAAGGAACTCTATCGGATGGTAACGAAAACTTACGTTTGTTTGTAACGAAGTAAATTATAGTCTCCGGTCTCGAAACGGCTAATAATTATATGCCCTAAATCAAAGCGCTGACATCAACGAACTGTCGTAGATTGGACGACTGTTGTTTCACCCATTGCAGCGGTGGTACAATTGGTGTCAACCAAATGATCCCTTTTTCGGAACAAGCATGCGTCCGCATCGCAAGGGCTTAGCGCGGCGACCCCCCCCCCCCCCAGGCGAGTTTTGAATGCGCAGTTATACGCGCGCGAACGCGACGAGAATCTCTGGGGTTGCAAGCTGGTGAAAGGGAACACAAAGTTGACACGGACTGTACTTTGGACGGTTTCACATGCTTGGCTGCACAGATACTGATCAAAGTCCATAGTCGTCAAAGTAGTTAACTTCTTTCAACGAGTTTAAAAACTTCTAAACATATAAATGGCCTTATGTAGGTATTGGCTGGAAAAGAATAGTATGTTCTAACATATATCAAAATTAGATCATCTAATAAGTCCCCTTTCTTTAAAAATTTGCAGTTATTCTCCAAGTGTTCCATTACATTGCGACCACCCCAATAAAATGATGATACGGAAAAGATGACTAGTAGTCATGGCCAGGGTTGAGCGTGGGGTCAGGCGCGCCCGACCTAGAGGGTCGTATCAGGGGTGGAAGCGGGGGGGGGGTCGTATTTGAAGATGGGAGCAGGCATGCAATCATGGGAGCCGATTTTTCTCCCAACACTGAGCTGGTGCAGAATGACAGCCTTCACTTTTGGATCTGGAAACTTTCCCACCAAATAAAAACGTGATAAGGAAAAGAAGATAACACATTAGTAAAGGCATATTTTTAAGTGTATAATTCCGAAAATATTTTCATCATCTACTACGAGCACCAGGAGGACATCATCGCTTCGGACGAACTACGACACCCCCGCGATCCTCAAAAATAAGGTTTTTTGATAGCTTCAGAAACTCTAACCGAGGCCCTCGTTAGGGCTAACACCTTAACCATCCGGCCCTCCTGAGAGCCGCTAACATCATGAATACAACTGCATTTCCGAAAGAAGCTGTTCTAATAAATTGTGAGACTAGGTCGGTCGAGGAGGTTACCGAAAATTTCAGAGATTAGATAGTAAAAATTATTAGAATTGCACTGATTTGAATATTGCTAGCAAAAAAACTGTCACTGACTGGTTTCAGTGTAAGTAATGTTACAATAGATAGTGAAAAATTTGTGTTGATATAGAAGTCCAGCCGGAAATTAGAATTTTGGAAGTTGAAGCTGCGTAAATCGGCCAAAATTCCAATTCGTTCAAAATTCGTATATAGAAGTAACAACTGATGAAAGGCAATAGTTAGAAAATAAGTACTGCTCTAACAAATAGCAAAAGAAGAAGGTCGATTTAGAAGCTCTTCGCCGAAAATCAAGCATTTGAAACTAACAAGGGAACCGTGTGGAGTCGAAGTGGCCTTTCCAGATGGGACTTATACTGCTTTGAAGAGCATTAATCGGTGATTCCAAATCTGCTTTCCAAATCTGCCAAGCGCCTCTGGACGCCAAGTTATGCTCGTTTTTCAGGTCAAAAAATTGAACGCAAAACTGAAGCAAAATCGCCCAAATTTGCTCAAATGGTCCAGTGTCAAGTATCAGAGCTGTTTATGCAATGGATACATTTTATTTAATACGCTAATACTTAACATTTCTTTACCTGAGCGCTGGAAAGATTGTAACAATCAATTTTACCTAAATTCTGCATTCATTTTTCGTTCCGAAGAACGGTAATAACTCGGCGTCCAGAGGCGCTTGGCAGATTTGGAAGGCAGATTTGGAATCACCGCTTAATACTCTTCAAAGCAGTATGGGTCCCATCTGGAAAGGCCACTTCGACTCGACACGGTTCCCTTGTAAGTGGCAGCATTTCCAAATGCTTGATTCTCGACGGTGACTGAACCGACGCACAATGGAGACGAGGAGAAAGAGGGGCTGGGCAAACAGGGAGTCTATTCAGAAGAAACTATTTGATTTGGAGTCTATAGAACTTCTCAGTTAGGTATAAAGCGTTTTGCTAGCTAAAAGCGCAATATCCGTACTGTATACCTACCGTAACCTTACCAAAGGGTCATACCAAACGAACTGAATGCTATTTTGTAATCACCATGCAAAATAGCTTTTGTGAGTCCCTTATATGATTTCCTGCAACAGTTTACTATTTTTTCGAATGTCTGATAAGCGCCATTTTCAAACATAATTAACTTGGTTTTAGTGATCAAAAACATCAACCTTTTTACATCAGTTACAAAATAGTACCCTTTCCTAACACATCCTAGCAATTTCACCTTATATCACTCCCAAGTGATAAATTTGCAAGCCCTTCAAAATTCCGACAGTCGCTCTTTTTACTCAAAGTAAGTTTACTCCATGAACTCCCGGAAAGTCGGAACAGGACGAATCAACTACAGGCACCTAATGCGTGATTTACGAGGTTTGTACTAATGAATCACATAAGATTTATCAGAAAAAACTTTCTTTGAAATGAAGTTAATGGGGTCAGGCGCAACCCCTCAAAAGCTCAGGCCGCCTGAGCTTTTGAAGGGTTGCGCCTGACCCTATTAACTTACCTTTGAACAACTCAAATTTTCCCGCTCTTTACCTCAAACTTTTGGGTAAACCTTTCTCTCCGCGCAGTATAAGTTTCGTTAGATATCTTCACCCCTCGCAAAAGTTATCGATGTTTCATCCTACCTATCTGCCGGAAAGAAGCGTGGATAATCCTCACTTAATTTCGTCTTACTGTAGAAACGAAGTTCATTCGGATCGCTAAACGCGGAACTTCACGCGGAAAACTTCATTTTTTGAGCGCTCCTTCATTCTCTTGTCGTCGCCATAAGTCTAACGATGATGATATTTGCCAGTATTTTGAAATTCTGATTTCAATCCATTTTAGAAGTGTTTTACATCTCTATGTTCTAATGATATTCATCTTGCGTTCTTAATTTCATGTTTGTGTACCGTGTGCTGGAGATTTTTTTTGTCTAAGTAACTGACGAGATCCTATTTCGTTTGCTCATTCGAACACTTGACCAGGTATATGTCAGGTTAGTTTGTTTCAATGTCCTTTTGCATTATTGTCGTAAACAATGGATAAAAAATGCAAGATGTTAGAAGCCATTGCCATAGCCATTGTCGCCTTCGCTTCCTTTTTTCACCCTTTGAATGTCAAACAAGGATTCTTCAGGCTAACAGATGCTGTAGTTGCAAAAGTGCCATGATATGAGTGCGCAAACTGCTCGGTATCTATGGAAGGAAAACATCGGCCTCCGAAATTCTGCGCTATCTGTCATCTATACTTCAAGTATGCTTTAGTATCTTTTCCGCTTGTATTCTTAGCCTGCAAGCCCTTATCTGCTCGCCATGCTTACTTCAGGAGAAATGGCACTCATCGAAATGTGGTGGGGAAGTTGTCTGAGGACGATGAGAAGATAGTGAAGCGGTGGGTAGAGTTGGAAAGAGGCAAAAGCGCGTATCGTCTAGCGATGAGGTTTGTTTGGTCTATGTTATATACATTTTTTGCGACCAGAAGCTAGACCTTGTTTGATTCTTTTCTTTTGGGTTTGTTCCGTAAGTGCATAATTCAAGTAACTTTCTACTAGTTTTTGTCATGATCATTCCACCTGCGTTTTTGTTTATCTGCTATTGCAATACGGTGTCTCAACCTGGCTTTACTAGTCTGTAGTAATAAGGCGCCCTATTTTCGAGCTCCTATCTCGGTGTAGGTTTAACGATAGATCTGGTAGGTCTCAAAAGTGAAAATTTGATGAATGATCTAATCGTTTAGTCATAAACGAGGTCCTAGTTGGCTTTACTGTATAAGCTATATTCACTTAAAGTTGATGCCATAGCCCCCTTTTCAACTTGCTTACCATGATAATCTCAGCTTTATCTCATGATGCTAAGCTTCCTGCAAATTCTTCCAGATTTGTGCGGCCTAACATCATTGCGGAACGCATATCAAGTTCTTTAAAAGCTCATATCAATGGATTTCGGTATGCGAGTGATTATGCGTGCTCTTATTAGTGCCGAAAACCTCGCTGTTACAGATACTCTTCTTTGCATGGCAACAGAATTGATGTCTTATACAACAACATCAAACTTGCGTTCTTCCAACCATGTGATAACGACATGATCATTTTGTTGCACTTCAATTTGAAGCATCCGGTGCTTTGGGGTAAAAAAGAAATACAAGTGAGTTTCATTGGTGCTATTTTAGTGCTTGTTTCTAATCTAATAAGGCTTTATACCTATTCGTTGCATTGAATCCTCCATCGATACTTGCTTTCATGTTTTTTTCTCCACATAGCTACAGCTAGTGTCAATCACGTACTCCCTTTTCCATAGGAGCAGCGTGTCCGCGACGCGAGAGCCAGGCGTGCAGACCTTCAGTCGATGACGCCAGTTTGAATGCTCAGGTTGAACGCGCGCGACCGTGGCGCGCAGCTCTGACGTAGCGATAGCGTCGACGAAGAAGGGAGTACGTGATCGGCACAGACTGTAGTAGTCTTTGATTGCAAATGCAACCATTCAGTAATCAACGCGCAGAAGCTATTCAACGTTTTAGTAGCATCCTTTTTTTGTACGCTTCTATATCCATTCGGTAGTTTCTCATAGATTTTCTTGTTCAGAACCATTTCTTCAACGTCGTAAGGTCAAAGGACCAGGTCTGCGAAGACTGCAAAACGATGAGCCTCCAATGAAGATGCAAGGACCAACCCTGCGAAGACTCAGAGGGATGAGCCTCCGATACCCGAAGAGTTATTTAGTAAATTGTTTTCTTTGAATAAAGAGGATGGCTATGAAACTTGCTGTGACTCTGTTTTTCCTTTCCGTGTTATTTTTTTACATATCTTTTTTTGGAATAATCATATTTCTTTAGTCCAATCCTCAATATAATGTGCTTGCACTGTATTAGCTGAAATGCGGTAAATTTGCTCGTGAACAAATAGGTGCGACTGTGACGCCGGCCGATTGCTCGCGCAAAAGGCTGGCATTGCTGTCGTGGGTACTTGTTTACGCGTATATTTTACCCCATTTCACCTTCAGTGAAATGTGGTAAAATCTGTGGATAGGTTCACAACAAGCACACTTTATTTAGCGGAAAATCTACTCAACTGTATCTTCTCGTATTGTCATTTTTGGATCACGATATCGTATCCTAATTTATGTCTAAACAATTGTAACCTTGTCTCGAGGCTTTTCGAGACGTCTCGAGACGAGACCCTTGCCGAGAAAAGTCCAAAAGCGTTCGAGGAAGCCCGAAAAGGCCCAAAAAAGCCCGAAAGAGCCGAACGCAGAGACGAAATTGTGGTCGAATTCTGACATTATTTTTATGTGCAGACATCAGAAAATGAAGCAAAAAGATTCGGTTGCGAAATCAACATTATGCGTTAGCACCAAAATGGGAGGGGGTGTTCCTGCTCTTTTTGGCGCTTTTTCGACTTTTTTCGGCTTTTTCGGGCTTTTTTGGGCTTTTTCGGCGAAGTATGACGGTCCGTTACACAGAAGAAACCTGCAGAGCTTGGGAGGGGGGGGGGGGGTCGTATCTAACACGAGCGGGCGGGGGGGGGGGGGGGTCGTTTCCGGGTGGGCTGCGCCTGACCCCTTGCTCAACCCTGGTCATGGCTGTGAGTTTTCAATGCATGCCTCCATTATGCTTTTTTTGATTGAGTCATACTGAGTTTGATTTCAAAAACCGATATATAATGTCAGGGCTCGGCACGAGGTGGCTAGATGAAAATGGAAAAAACGAAGTCCCCCTTGACTTTTGGGAATTTTTACGAAGTCCCCTTTGACCCTCAACCAAATTTCCTCTAAAAACCTGAAAAATCCCCCAAAAAACGAAACGTCGACAAAAAAAACGTCGCCAAGTCGCCAATTTTGCGTCTCTCTTTGGTCACAAAAACGAAACCCCCTTTGCTTTTGGTCTCAAAAACGATACTCAGGCTTGCTTACAAGCCACCTGTGCCGACCCCTGTATAATGTTTATGAGAAGTCTCAGCAGCTTTGTGTCCCTGAACAGGACACCCTAGGAAACATCCCAAACAGTTTGCATTGATACTATCAATAAGCAATGCTTAGCACCTGCCGTCTTCTGAATCCTCAACTGAATTCTTTCAATTTTTCAAGAATACATTTATTTTAGATTTTACGCAAAACCTTGCTTTCTCGCTTTCTAAACTTTTGCAAATTCATTCAACTGTAGATGCAATCGCAAAAATTATGTCCTATTATAAGTAACCTTTATTTCAATCGAATTGGCGGCTGGAAGGAGGGGATCGTGACCTATTTGAGGCCGCTCGCGCCCGCCATGCATCCGCGTCTCTCTCGCGAAAATGCACTCTGATCATTCTGTAGCCTTAACTAAGTCAGAAGCCCCGCCTTCCAGCGCCAATCTGGTTGAATCAAAGGGAACCTCCACTTCTCACATTCAATTATATTAGGTTGCCTAAAAAATAAGTTCGTTTTGGCATACAATTCATCATAGAAAATTTTCTTGTTGTTCTTTAGCTATGATTATTTGTGAAAAAGTAGATCAAAGCTTTCTCTATCACATATTAGATATTTAGGATATTCTATCATCAGCAAAAAGAGTTATGCCTCAACGGCGAAATTTCCAAGAGCTTAATTCTTTGACTTCCTAAGCTTCGTTTTCATGCTGTAATGGATGAAAGGAATAGCAGCTTGGTATTTGGATAGAGAGTAGTTTTTCCTATTTAATGAATAACAAAAAAAGTTGTGATCTGCCACTTGAAAATGTTTCACTAGAAAACCGAATTTCCTCATATTTGCGCATTGCGCATGAGAAAATTGCGCTTTCTCACTTTTTTGCGGATCTTCTTCCTTGCAAGATAAGTTTTACTCAAACAGAATATATGCTCTAATACCCATTGAAGTGCTCTTTCCAGAGATACCAAACATTGGTCGAAAATTTGTCTACAGCATTTGTAAGAGCTGAAAAAGCGACCGAACTTATTTATTAGCCAACCTAATATAACAGAAATGCCATCTAGTGTTCTCTTGTGCAATATTCAGCTGCGTTCCTTTCAGCTGCATTCTTCTCCACATGTGTAAGATATTCATCCAAAGATCGGCGGTTATCTTTACAATCACGATAACGAACCAGCAGTTTTGTTTCGCCACTTAGTTCGTCAAACTTTTGCAGCTTTTTTGAGAGATGGCTTTTATATTTTGTGAATAAATTTTTGCTTACAGGACTTGGCATTGACCTCAGCATGCTACGCATATTCAGCTTGCTGTGTGTTCTGATTTTAGTGATTGCTCAAGACCTGGACCAGTGCACTCAATGCCTGAACCAATCACAGACGTAAGTGATAGTTTTTTATAAGTGCAACTTGAAAAGATGTTAACTGATTAAGATGGTGCCCCTCGACAAAGACTTGCGAAGCTAAGACTACCAAATGCAAGACCCCCATAACGGTATATTTTGAAGATATTAATTGTAAGGAAGAGGTTGAATAATAGGGATGAAAGCTTTTAGCGTGCGCTGAATTGTCCACGTCTACCGGATCCTGCTTATGCTTATAACGAGACATTTGCTCGTTATTACATCACTCCAATAGTAGCAGCTGTGTTTGCGAAGAGTCCGGAGCCGTGCCTCAAGTAGGTTTGAGCATTTGATTCCCACTATGGATGGAAGCTCGTCGGCTCAGCACATAGCAAGCTCAGCTTGCATGACTGCAATGGCGCTGACAAAACACTCGATTGAAGTCTGTCCCAATAGGGCCGAGCCGTTGGCCTGATTGCGCGCACGCATCGCTAGGGGTTTGCGTAGCATATGCGCATTATCGGAGAGAGCGAAGAGATTGAAGAGAGAGCAGACACACAAGCCGTAGACGTGAAGCAAAAGCCTGCGACGCGGAGGTGATTAGTAATGGTACGCAGTTACCTTACCGAAATGTTGCTTCCTCTCCCGACAACTATTCCATATGTGCGGTAGTATACTAACTATAGGCTGCTGCATGACGAAGACGCAATGTCTCTGGGCGCGAACGCGGCTTTATTAGCCGCAGAGCGCACGAGGCGCGGGATTTACAACGGTGAGGGTACGCGCGCCGCGTTGGCGCCCGCTCAACTAATACTGCTTCTTCGCCTTCGTCATGCAGTAGCCTTTACAGTCGCTTCACACCAATTCACAATTTTTTCTTAGTATTTTAACACTAATTCACAATTGTAAACTTGATTAGCTCAATGTTTTTTTTGAATCTTTATCAAATTTTTTCTAGAGCACAGGTACCTCATGTCTCCTACTACAAAAATGTCCATGTCAAATGCGCCTTGGATGTGCCAGGTTCAAATTTTTGTTCAACCTGTATGAATCGCCATCACTTCATTTTTAGATGTACACTGCTACGGCTATACCGCTTGGGATCCTGTAGAAAAAAGCAGTGATTATTGCTTTTGAATGAACGGCCGGTAGTAACCAAATGACTGATGAGATACTCAGCTTCTTTTTGTAAGGTTGTTGAGGTTAACTTTCGAGATTTTATTATCAAGATCTTTCCAGCCATAAAGTAGCATTTTTCGACAATGGCTATCTGTTCAAGTACTTCCATGATGCATTTTTCTTCTTATGGAATGGAGGTCTCGAGCAGCAAGTGAGAACTTTGAAATATCAATATCCGGACTACAAAGTCTATGTGAGTTGCTAATTCCACACAAGTTGGTGGGGTAAGAAAGTTGATTTATTGAAGATTACTGGCCACTCGCTAGGAGCATCAATTGCATCCATAACAGCCGCCTACCTTGTGAAATGGGATATGTGGGACCCGAAGGACGTCAAACTCATAACCTATGGGCAACCCAGAACTGGTGACTACGACTTTGCTGTATGGCAATCGGCTACGGTAAGTCATACCAAGGGTTTAGCATTTGAACAGTTCACCTTACGTCGGTTTCAGTTCCCGTACTCCTATCGAGTTGTTCATCACCGTGACCCCGTACCTCATGTACCACCGAGGCTCGGCCCTGATAATGTTTTCCATCATCGTTACGAAGTTTGGTGAGCATTCACCGTAACTAACGGTTTTTTAAGTGCTCAAATACGGCATCTTGGGTAAATGAACAGATCTTTGAAAAAGTGATTGATAGAACGCGTTCTTTTGCACCGCTACAGTATCCCGCCATTCGGCGCCGGATTACGGTATGATATTGTAAACGTGCATGCCAGATGGGTTCACGTTCTTTTGCATCCGTTTAAAGTGCCCTGTGCAACTGCGCGAAATTCTGAAAGAAAATGTTAGACGCTTTTTGCGCCGCTATAGTATCCTACCGTAATACAGTGCGCCGCGTCGCATTACGGTAGCATACCGTAGCGTTGCAAAAGAGCCGATTTTACCAAAAGTCCCAAAATCAAAATATACTGAATATGATACAAATTGATGTACAAAAAAATTATACAAATTGATTGGCGATGTGTTGAATGACCGGCTTGATTTTTTTAGGTACAACAACGACATGGCTGTTGGACAACCGTATACGATATGTCAAGAAGCTGATGGAGATTACTGTAGCAACACGGCTATCAATGGAGAATTTGAAGAACATATGTGGTACTTCGACAAAAACATTGGAGATTGGGGCGAGAAAGGATGTCCTTCGAACTACACATCAACGAAGAGATCATAGACATTCAAATAAATGAAAATTTCGGAACCGAGTAGCATTGTTGTTTTCAGATTATTGTAATGTATGTTGTGTGATACGTTGGGTGATCGTCACAAGGCTAGGCCACTCTTTTCTGGCTGGACTTTCCAAGTATAGCTGCTTTCCTCTCTACGAACACAAAAGAACAAAACAAACAAAGAACAAAAAGCACGAGAGTTAATTTCTGTACTGACGTCTCAGCTACATATTAAGCACAGAAAACCGATCAATCAGGATTGATAAAAATGGATATGCTCAAAAAAGGTGACGACGTCTTGTAATACCGCATGAAAACCATATTGAAAAACGAATATTAACAAAAGAAAACTATTTGGATCATTGTGAAAGTCAAGATGCTTTCGGGTGCTATCTTTACACATAATCAGAGCTTAACTTTTGCAATCTGAGAACGTTCCACAAAAACTCACACACCCTAATCAAGACAGGAGCACCTCCACTGGGCCATTGGGACAATATATACTGGAAACAGTAAAGGCAAAACAAGTAGAAACTGCTGACTGACGAGTATTCAGTTGTTACTTCCCGTACAATATCTCCTAGAAAATAACAATTGAAGCTCTGAAGCCCTGAAGAACATATTTGGAGCAGGAATTATGTCAATAACAATGCTTCGAGGCTCATTTCGTCAAATAAAAGACTCCGTCGAAAACTGCCAAAAAAGGAATTACTCTGGTAAGGTCTAGCGTTGATCAGGCACTATGTTACTTATCCAATCCGTTATACACAAGCCCTAGCATAAAATAAACAATAATAACAATATGCACAATAACACGTTTAAACCACCCTTAGAAAGTTTTATTTTTTTATCACAACTATCTACTGAACCTCATAGCACTGCCAAAAATTCACATTGGAAGTTCTCTGTTTTACACTCAGTTTTTCTTATAAAATGTCCATGAAGAGTTGATACGAACTTTCAATTTTTCTATTACGTGACATTCTTAAAATTTTGAGGGACGAAAGTAGGAGAAACAAAACGGAAAATGATTTCGTTTAGGTAACATCAGCTACATAGTAAATTTTTAGAGCATGGAAACAAGCGCAATTGCCCTATTCTACCAAAACCTACCACGATGTCCGTTTTTCGTTACTTTTGAGCAACTTATAACTTCGTAGGCTCTGGAACCATAAAGAACACAAACAACGAAGTTTATCTTTATAGTCGCGATAAGATCACTCTGAAGACCAAATCGCAGCCTTTGGCCATCACACACTGAGCGCCGTGATAGCGCTTTTTTGTATTCATAAATGTGACTTTTGAAATTTTCAGTTATCAAATCTGAGAGGCTCAGACATGCAGCTTCGTTGTTTTTACGCATTGTGCATTCTAATCGTAGTCTCCGCTCAAGATGATCAGCAGCAGTGTATTCAATGCGTTCAAGCTGGTAAAACGTAAGTTTTTTCACGGATACTAATAATTACTAGAAGAATTCCTCAGTTTACATTTGTTTAGTTGGTGTGGCTACAGGAAAACCTGTGAAGAAAAAACGTCTGATTGTGCCACCCCTATTCAGGTAATGTTTCCTTTCCAGCATTGTATTTGGTCCATAAGTCTTGCACCAAAAAACATTGAGAATTCATCTAAAAATTTTCAAAACAGTGTTACAATCTAAATTATACATTTTTATAAAATATAACATTTGTGCCTTATTATGCATAATAGAGATTCTGTTCGAAAAAATATAATCGAAATATCGATTGAATCGGTATTCATAACTAATTATAGAAACAAATCTACCTTTTGGTTCAGCTGCTTGGCGGCTGGAAGGCGAGGTTCGTGACCTAGTTAAGGCTAGGTAGTGGTCAGAAAGTATACGCTCGGAAGCGACGCAGACTGCATCGCGGACGCGAGAAGCCTTAATTAGGTCACAAAGCCCCGCCTTCCAGCAGCCAAGCCAGTTGAATCAAAGTTTACACAATATTATATAGCTGAGAAGAGTAGGTCGTGAAATAATATTCAAAAACAAAAGTAAATTATTTTTTAGCAATTTCTACGGCCAAAACTTCAGAACCTGCTATCCTGAGTGTTCCTCTTTATTAGCCTCGTCGTGAAGTGGAATCGCTAATTTTTTTGAGGACTTCTAGAAAGTGCAAGGTTTTCCCTTTCTGAATCATATTTGAATGAGTGACTTGGTCAAAAGCGGAGGAAATCAAGATTTGTTAGAAATTTTGGTGCAAAACTCATGGATATCAATACAGTTCAATACATTCAAAGCAAAGGCGATGTTGCAGAAATTTTTATTTGGGTAGGGAGGAGCGGGGAAGAGACCCTTACAAAATTTCCTTCAGACTGAAGCTTGTCTTCACTCAGCTCTTCCGAAATAGGTACGAAGGTGACTCAACTGTTTGAAAGCCTAGTGTCTTTTGAAACTAGGTCCATAAGTTTTCTGCTCTGAATAATTTTCTCAAAAATATAAGGTTTGAGACTCAGTACAACAATACGCGAGACTTGAAAATTTCTATAAACACTGAAATTGAATCTCAAGTCAGCAACATATTTTTAATGTATTTACATCCTTTCCAAATTTTGCGACTGAAATCATAGAAAAAGCGCTGCCTTTCCTCCCCTTCCATCTCCCCCCCTCGCCTTCTGCTTCTGTTACTAATTCAAACGGATATATTTTCTTTATTTTTAGCTTGCATTGAACTGTCCACGTGTTCCGGATCCAGCCTACGCATACAACGATTCTTTTGCTCGGTACTATATTACGCCGCTTATTGGCGGTTTGTTCTTGGACACTCCAGAGTCGTGCTTGAAGTAAGTTTAAGGGTTTTTTTTACTGTTGTTGCGAGAATTTTGAGAAAAAGTAATGTGTAGGCTATCAAATGCACTTATTTTTACAGGACCTGAAATTATGGAGGTTTTTCAGGGTATCGAAGGGAAGCAAAACTTGTTTAACTTTTTCTTTAAAGGCAGCGTCCAGGCAAGTCTGGACCTATGGGGATTTTACGTGGAAAGTACTTTTGGGGCCCTAACGAAGCCACTGCCCAACCGGCAGCTCAGGTAGGGTAGTGCCCTAACGGCTGAGATATTCCCCTCGAAACTGGACCCCGCAACCGTGTTTCGCATGGACTCATGGCGCAAAGCGTGGATCCTGGCGCGAAATTGCCATGAATCCATGCGAAACACGGTCGCGGGGTCCAGTTTCGAGGGGAATATCTCAGCCATTAGAGCACTACATGAGCTGCCGCTTGGGCAGTGCCTTAGTCGGAGCCCCAAAAGTACTTTTCACGTAAAAGCCCCATAGGTCCAGATCTGCCTGGACGCTGCCTCTAAGGGGGTATAGGTAAAAAGTTCGCAATCTTTCTATCAGTTATCCAATAAGCACAAAGTTTCAAATTCTCAAATCTTTGAAGATTCGAATAGGTAAAGGCATGCGATCGGCTTTTTGTGCATTTAGGCTTATTCCACACATATCTTACTACAAAAATGTTCGCGTACAATGTGCAAAAGAGCAAACAGGTAACTGCCACTGATAAAATTAACATTTCTTCAGCAAAATCGCTTCCTTTTAGATGTTCACTGCTATGGTTATTCGGCATGGGACCCAGTCGAGAAAGCCATAATTATCGTATTTATTGGAGCCAGCTCCGAAATGCAAGGACTCGATTTGACCTACAGTAGTCTCTTACAGTGAGCATCCATTCAGGTTAAGTTTTATCTATTTTTGTCTATTTTTAGGAAGAAAATTGCCTTTTTCGAAAATGGGCGCTTGATCAAGTATTTTAATGATGCCTTTCTTTTCTTATGGAATGGAGGTCTTGAGCGGCAAGTTCGCACCCTCAAATACCAATATCCTGACTTCAAAATTTATGTGAGTATACTTTTCTTCCAAAGCCCGCGCGGACAAATGGCACAGGGTATAATGTATAAGCCTACGGGAACGGCCATAGGTTGTCGGTGTTGTCGGTGTTGTCGATGTTGTCGGTGTTGTCGATGTTGTCGGTGTTGTCGGTGTTGTCGGTGTTGTCGATGTTGTCGGGGTTGTCGGGGTCAGAGACAGTTTAGAGAGCGCGCGAAACGTGGAGGCTATCATGAGGTCCTACAACGACCGGCAACCCCGAACACCGACAACACCGACAACACCGACAACACCGACAACACCGACAACATCGACAACACCGACAACACCGACAACCTATGGCCGTTCCCTACGCGAATTGCGCCAGATATCCGTGCGCCATTTTATTAGCGCCGTCGTATACCTTACCAAAACTTTCTATTTTAGGTCGTTGGTCATTCGATGGGAGCATCTTTAGCAACCGTCGCAGCTGCATATCTGGTAAAATGGAATATGTGGGCACCAGAAAATCTGAGACTTATCACTATGGGGCAACCTAGGACTGGAGATTATGAGTTTGCCCAATGGCATGATGCTACAGTAAGCCTACAGTATCATTGCAACACTCGTACCACACAACTAAAAATACAAGCTTAAAAAGTGTGAAACAAATGAGCGAGAAGTGGTGAGAAAAAATCAATAGCGCCGCTCCAACAGTTGCACCCCTGCCGCGACTCATAGGCATTTGCTCCGCGCCGCCGCAGTAGGCGTAGTTTAGCCCGGAAGATAGGACTGAAAAATAGGAGACGACAAATTTTGGAGGAATTATCTTTCGAGAACTCTACTACTCTATTTACATCGCGTAATCATTCAGGTGAATTAAAAGACTGACAAGAAGCAACACGCTATGGGAAAAAAACCAAATGTTACTTTTACATTTGTGCTTAGCGGCCGCGACTCGTAAGCATTTGCACAGTCGCCGCACTGCGCGTCTCGGAAAACAAAATAATTTCAAATAACTTGGAAATCGGCGCATTCTTATGCAGACTCTATTTTTGAACAATTTCCATACTGAATAATCCATTCAAATTTTCAGTTCCCCTACTCATATCGGATTATCAGCCACCGTGACCCTGTACCACACTCTCCTCCAAGAATAGGAGCTGATGCTGCATTCCATCACCGCTATGAAGTTTGGTATGTACAAAAAATCGATAATTGATTTTTCTTTATTTTTTGTAATCATTGATCGTTGACTTAGGTACGATAACGATATGGCCGTAGGACAACCATACACAGTCTGTCAAGAAGCCGATGGAGACTATTGTAGTAACAAAGTATCCAACAAAGAAGGCTCGGATCACTTGTTCTACTTCAATCTGCAAATAAAAGAATGGGGACTCAATGGATGCCCTGCGGCAAATCTTACAAGGTCAAAGTGATGGGGAGAATGTGAATAAAGTATGATGGATGATTGTATGACACTTTGAAGACCTTTTTTATATTCATTGTACTTGGTACACAGTTCTGCTAATTCTTTATAAACGCGCAAAATGACAAGATTTCGGGAAAGGGCGATAAAATAAGTATTTTGGGATATTCCATTTACTCAAACGTGCAGAAATTTTTCAATCAAAAATAAGAGGCAGTTTTGATGAAATACCTGGTACCCGAAAATCTCCACTGTATTAGTAATTACAAATCTGCAGTTAATCAGAAATGAATGCTCTGCATTTGATCATTAACCCTTCCATAGCTCAGACATTCGCCATTGACTCCCGCAGGAGATCCGCCCACAAAATGGATGGTCGCACCAAAATCCGGTGCACCGGCGGGAGTCATCATTTTAGTTTTATCCCTATTTTGTTGCCATTTTGTCCCGGAGCGCGTTGGCATGTTTGAACAAGTACAACTTCAAATTATTGAGTTCACTCTGTATTGCTGCCGAAAGCGTCAGTTTCATTTTCAACTCAACTTCCAAGGAAGCTGCGCTCTTATTTCCTGAGTCACACATAAGCCAGGCTTACCATTATTCCTGCACCCTAGGTAAGTCCAGTTTTTTTGCAAGTGCGGTTTGCAACTCAAATTGCCACAGTGTTGAGTTCATGTCAACGATGTACAGTATTTGGCCAACGTCCATCGACCGAAATATAAGATGCCCCAATCAAACAGAGCCTAAAACTTGTCTAAAGGCTTTGTTCCGCTGCATTTTCTTAGAAATACTATCAGAACGAAAAAACCATACTTCCTTCTCAATTGAGTATCCTCTTTTCCCTCTGAGAACTTCAGAATTGTTTTTACGGTGAATCCGACATCAGTTCGACACAATCCTAAATCCGTTCAGGCCTGCGAACCTCCAACGGAAATTCAAAACTACGCCTGTAGGCAGAGCGGGAAGAAGGGGAAATTTGATTATCCTAAAGACCTTCCAGAAGGAATGGTCGATTTCTTAATAAGTCGATGTGTCTTCAAGTACATTTGCTCCAGTAACTGAATTAGGTTTTGTGCTTGACGCTCTGGGCGTGTACCGCGACGAACTCCTGCGGACCCCAAATGATCATAAGCAAATTTCAAACAGGTATGTATATTCTCGAAAGACCTTCATGTGCACTAGAGTTTACGTGATGGATGTCCCTAAGAGAAGAGGACGACGCTCGCGAGAAATTTTTTAGCAAGCTCTCGGAGGCAAGAGTGGATTCGAGCGGCCGTGCAAGAATAGCAATAGGGAGAGCACTATGAGTTCTCACACTGTTAAAAAAGCGATACTTTTGAATCGTACTTTTGCAGCGCAGACATGCCTTACCATTTTGACCCCGAAGGAGACGCGCTTCTTCCGTCAAAGGTGATTCATTTTTTTATATGATCACTGGTGTTGATCATTTCTGATTTTCAGAAAAAGCGTGCCGTCATCGAAGGCAGCGAAGGTAGCAGTATCACTAAGGAACTAGTGATTGAGAAGGCTGAATGCATTGGAGATGAAATTGAAGAGATTGAAGAAGCCTGATAATATTATTTACATTTTTGTTATTAATGTATTTGTCTCGTACCTTGGTGTTCCAGTTGTAAACTCCTGAACATTATGTTCGCTGCTTTCTATGCATTTCATTTCCATTTGATGTAAATCCTGCCGAGAAGATTATGTGGTTTTTTATTAATGAATTTGTTGACGTTTGACTAGGTTTTACGAGCAGAAAAATAACAGGCGTGAGAATTGAGACCCAAAGAGACCAAGGGCACAAGATAAGTGAAAAAGGAGGCGTGAGAGAAGAGATAGAGGACGCAAAAATCCGTTTATAAGGGCGTAGACCGCATGCTCTGAACGCGATCGGGACATTATGATGTCTCCCGCAGGTGTTCCGATTTTGTCCGGAATGTGTCGGTCGGGAAACTTGATTTTGTCGCGCACTTTTCTCCCGAAACAAAATCGGGTGTCCTGATTTTGTCCCGACACGATTTCGGGAGTCGAGCAGGCATTCCGTGACTACACCTCATTTTGTTTTGCGGGACTCAATGGCGAATGTCTGAGCATAGGCCCCGAACAGACTTCACGCGATTTGATCGTCGCGATTGAATCGCGACAAGACAACTGTTACAACATCATTCCATTGTCAATCAACTTGCAATTCGGTTGTGATACTTTTCCAGCCCGAAATTTTCAAATGAAAATGGAATAAGATGGAAATCGCGGCATTGAATCGCAACGATCAAATCGCGTGGAGTCTGTCCGGGGCCATATGCCATGCAGATTGCAAAGCAGTTCAGTGAAGGCCACATGATTTTTTTTCGAAAGAGGCGAAGAGGAGGGGGGGGGGGGTAGCGACACATTTTTTCGGAATGAAGGAGAAGTATTTAAGCCATCCTCGCAACGTTCAACGGAGGGGTTTTGAAGTTAGTCAAGCTGTATGGAGAAAAATTCTCAATGCTTTCACTATAGAACTAAAAACTGGTTACCTTGCATAGATTTGAGCTCATACAGGGCAATTTCAAAAATTTCGACTGTCAAAGCCCAGTAACTCCTCTCTCCCCCGTTGTAACCGCACCCGGGTCATTCAAAGAAATTATATGACATTGCTCCAAGCTTACACATGGATTCTTCTTTTGCGCTTGAAGTAGAGGTAATTTATGACACGCAGAGAGAGGTTGTCATCGCGGAGGGTGGTCACTCACAAGCGCGGTTCCATTCCTCCACGTGTCTGTGGTCTCTCCGAAACAAGTACTGTTTGATTAGACGCAACGGCGATCAGTCTTTGCGTAATGTAAAATTTCTACATATTGGTGATCAGACTTTCTCATCCCTCAATGTAGTTTGCTGCGCAGTTTCTTTTCTTATTGTTTGTAGTTTGTTCAAGCTTTACACGCAATTAGCATAAAAAGTGATAAGCACCAGCATTCACATTTAACGATGCTTATCTTTACAGTTGCGATAACTACAGCGAACAAACACAGCACAACTTTATAAATCGATTTTTTCTTGTTTTATTTTCTTGATCTGGGTAAAATTTGGAGCATCCATCAGAAAAAAGATAACTGTTCTAATAGAATTATTTTACAGCGTTTTTCTAGATAGATGATAATTCTTCTTGTGACTTTGCTAGGCACTTTGTCCTCGACTGTCGCTCAGGATATAGAACAATGCACTGACTGTCTACACCATGTGAAGACGTTAGTATGATCTTATATGCACTATCGCCAAGTCCATCACCAATTCAGGTGGTGTCCCGTGACGAAAACTTGCGAGGAAAAAACGACCAATTGCACCACTCCGATAATTGTGAGAAGGTTTTCATCGGAAAATGATTTTAGTGTTTTGTTTCAGTATATCCTGAACTGTCCACGCTCACCAGATCCTGCATATGCATATAATGACAGCTTCGCTCGAAATTATATCACTCCACTTATCGGAGGATTATTCTTGGACACTCCAGAGAAATGTTTAAGGTAGGTTAATTATTTTTTTCCAAATATCTCATCTGGTCAAGTTTTTCCAGCTGATTTTGTTATGTATTCATAAGGCTTGATTGGAGCCACTTCAAATTATCTGCAGGATCTCTGTGATCAAACTCATCTGAAAGCATTTAATATCGAACTGTACGGATTCTACGTGTTGTAATTTCCTTTTTGTTATGTTGAACTTTTTTGTATTTAGTTAATCTTGAAAATTCCTTTTGAACAAAGTCCCCCACCTGATGAATGGTGCGCTTCTCGCCAGGCGGAAATTCGCAAAAATTTAATTTTTGGTCCTGAGGATGTGTAGTGGCCTGTGTTTTTTCAAAAATTCTACAAAAATTCTGAAGTGTAGAAAAAAGGCACGTAGCAAAATCCGTAATAAGAAGCTTGCAAAAAAAGGTTTACAAGTTTTTGCTTTTCGTGTGATTGCTTTAAAACCTTGTCAGAGGTTTCTCATTTCTTGGTTTAGGAACTTTTAGGCAATTCTTGTAAAATCCTATTTCAGGTTTTTGAACAAATCTATGAGCTTTGTGAAATTTTTTGTAGAGCGTTTTACTCATGGTTAGAAAGAGAACTCTTGACTAGAAAACTTTTTCTCTTATCAAAAATAGTTCTGGTAAGATTAGTGAAATTCGGAAAATCGATCTCAATTTAGCAATTTATAATCACGATAGAAATACATTGAGAACACTAAATTTGACTTCTGACTCAATTTGGCATCCCATCCCTACACAGGTTACTCTCAGAGCTTTGTTTAAGAGTTTCTTAAAGGTCCGGGTATACTTAACGCGATTTGGCAACGTTCCAAGTGTCCATAACTCATTATAAGCACATTTTAAATGCACAAAAGATAGGGCATTTCATCAATCCACGTAAGATGTACACACTATGTACAGTCGATTCATTTCATATGATCATGTGTGTCACTGCACACACTGTCCACCTCTGGCGTCCTCATCCAGGATTCTAGGAACTGACAGCCCTTGTGCTAAACGTTTCCGGTGTTTTCTTCATGCTTTTTCTCCTTTATAGGTACCAATCCTCACAAAGTGATGTAAGCGATCAAAATCGGTCGGTCTTTGCGCTTTTGCGATCGCATTTCCAGGATGGGGACGCCAAAGGTGGACAGTGTGTGCAGTGACACACATGATCATATGAAATGAATCGACTGTATATGCAGTTTGCTAGTGTTGAATCTGAAGATTTCTGGCAAATTGCCAATCGCGTCGCGACTGTCGCGTGAAGTATGCCCGACCCTTAAGGTCAATAATTTGAAGTCTGAAATTTGAAATTAGAAGTCTACGTGTAACATGTAACGTTAGCCACGCTACAGTAATGCCAAAGGAATCAGGTTTGATAAAAATGCATTTTAATTTGCAAGCTTCTTTTCGAAAAAATTTAACAATTCAAACCTAGTTTGAACTGCTGTGGTTTGCTAAAAGATGCCGAGGAGAAAATCAAATCAAAACGAATGATAAACCCAACAATTTTTCCTTTTTCGACTTGTTTTTCCTTTATCTACCTTTCATTCCAAGATTAAACGCTTTATTAAGGCAACTTCCATATGTTGCTTACTACCAAAATCTTCGCGTCCAATGCAACAAGAAACACGAAGGTAAAGTCGCCTGCATGAAATCGCCCGGGTTGTTGTAGGCTGAACGCACGCGAGCGTGCCTGCGACGCGGCTGCCGAGTGACGGGCGATGCGCGCGAATGCCAATGTTAGCGCGCAAGAGACACGCGCGCGGGCGCTCGTCCGGGCAATTCCATGCGTCAACTATACCCACTCAAAATAATAGCATTAAAAAAATAAAAATCTTAGATGCCCAATGTTACTCCTATGTCGCTCGGGATACAGTGGAGAAAGCAATAATTGTTGCTATCGGCGTCAGCCCCGAGATTCAGGATGCCAATGTGACAGCTGTCTTCGGGTAATATTCATTGATATTGTGTCCGTCACCTCAAGATAAATGATTTAGGGAAAAAGTAGCATTTTTCGATGATGGACATGTGTACAAGTACTTCAGTGACGCATTTATATCCCTTTGGGATAGTGGTTTAGAAAAACAAGTTCATACTTTGACATATCTATATGAGGATTACAAACTTTATGTGAGTTTAGCCTGACATAATTCTAAACGGGAGGGGAGGGGGGGGGGACGGGGGGGACAGGGTGAAATTCGATATTTTTTTGATACAATCAACTAACATCCTCTCGAAAATTTTGCACTCCTTTTTGGTCGACTATAAGCAACTTTTACCACACAAAGAAGCTTAAGAAATGAATTAGAATTCGTAATAAAATTTTTGATGATTTTTGTTACGGTTAATGGATTTTTATTCCCACGATTTGCGAAATTTCTTTAATTTGTGCATATTTTGTTTTGGTTGCCTTCAGGCTCTCGCTCCTCCTCTTTTTGCTCCCGCTCCGCCCCTCCCCATTTCACAGTCACTTTCTCTTTACAACTATCAGCTGAAGTGATGTTTGCTGCAGATTACCGGCCATTCCTTGGGAGCATCCATAGCCAGCGTCGGAGCTTCATATCTAGTGAAATGGGGAATGTTTTTACCGAAAAATATCAAGCTCATTACCTTTGGCCAAACCAGAATTGGTGACTATGATTTTGCCGAATGGCACGATGCAGCGGTAATTCTCAAGATTGGATTGAAATCCTTAAATTATGAAAAAAAGAGCTCTAGTTTCCCTACTCATATCGTGTGGTTAGCCGTCATGATCCTGTACCTCATATGCCTCCACAAGAAAGTGATGGCAAGCCATTCCATCATCTCTACGAAGTCTGGTAAGCTTCCCCTTATCTCAAGATTATTATTACCTATTAGCTGGCACACATTGTCCCGTCCGTCCTTTCTAATATTTTCGTAATCAGCATGCTCATTTACCCCCTTGCGCCAACTCCCAGCCTCGTAGGTGAAACTTTGCAGAAAAAGCGATGAATCAATATCGATCACTAACGGAAAGTAGCCTACGATATTCCACTGCCAGAAGTGTATGTGTGCCAAGTTTGGTCGGTTTCAATCGGTCCAGAAATAAACATCCTTTTTGGAACACGCGTACACACACACATACACGCAGACCTATTATACAAGCAGACATTCGCTTGGATGGAGGGACGAACACACACCTCAACTAAGCACCGCCCCCTCGGACTACTGGTCCCAACACGATGCACAACCGTAGGACGAAAGGACCAGCAGGCCGCGAAGGCCGTGCGTAATTGAGGCGTTCATTCCTCTACCCATTCGGCTTTATTTATACAAGTAACTCTAACTGATTCGCAGGTATAACAATGATATGGCCGTTGGTCAACCATATACGATCTGCGAAGAAGCTGATGGAAATTACTGTAGTAACAGCGTCACCAATAATGTCGACAGTGATCACTTGTTCTACTTCAATCGAAACATCAAGGAATGGGGACTCAATGGATGCCCTGCGTTGACTTCCACTGCATAGCCATAGCTTTAAACCAATGAATTGTTTTATCTGCCAAGTCACAGTCGCAGTTGGATGGAAACAGGGATAATTCTAGCGATTTTCTTTAAATGGTAAGAGTCTGTCTGTCTCATTACTCGCATAGTTTGGCAGTGAAGACACAATTTTGACGAACCACAACTCTATCACTGTCATATTACTGCTTGTAGTCAAAGTTCTCCACAATTCAGTCACCTTGTGTAAATGCACCACTTTGAAAAATTGCCTGAAGAAAAATTGCCTGAAGCAGGCTAGTGACGTAGAAACGCTACCTTGATTACAAAGTCAGTATGACGACGAAAAAGCGAATAGAAAACCCCTGAATTAGAGTAATGTGCTTCGTAAAAGCCATTAGCTTATTAGTGCGCATCCGAATAGGGAATCACACAGAGTGCTGAAGTGAGGACGTCTGTAGGCAAATTTAGCGGTAGAGAATCTCTTGACTCGATCAAACCATCTTCGAGGCAATGTCCTGGCAAGTAGGTTTCTTATAGAAATGACGTAGGGACAAAGCGACCTTACTTCTGGCCTTCTGTCCAGTTAGCATGTCCTGAATTTTACTATTGCATCGCAAGCACTTACTTTCACTTTATACGAGGGGCTGGTTTCAAAAACAGCGAGGTTTTTTGCGTCAGATAATCAGTAGTGTTCCTATTTTCAGATTTCAGGTCTTGGCACAGTTGACTCCTGGTCAAGGTGGATGGTTTGAGGGCAACGTTAAGTGAGAAATTGTAACTGTGCTTCACAGTACTGTATGCTAGTACAGTGTGACAAATACAAAATACAAAAGGCTGCTGTGGTAGTTTGGTCAAAAGAGCGGGTCGGGTTGAAGAACGCATATAGGCTGCAAACCAGCGGTCCCGCGCTGATATGCTTTGTGAGCCGCAAAAAAAGACGTACCTCGAAAGCAGTGTCTCGGCAGAAATTCACTTCTCGTTTTTTCACCTCTTCGGAGCCTTCCTGAGGCCATATCTGAGCTTTTCAGCGCTTGGGAATGGCAAAAATGAGCTGTTTGGGAGGCTTTCCATGTCGGCGTTCGCTCCAAACTACGTGTAAGAAGTGGGCGGGGTCCGGAAGACTTTCGGAGCGGACTTTGGGCTTTTCACAAGCGCTTTTTCGCTTCAAACTTTACTGATAGACTATCTGAGGGTTTAGCATTGGAACACTGTAATATCCCGGTACCCATCATTTTGAGAGGACACTGCCTTTAACGCGTAGTAGAGTTCGCACGCCTCACACCGTACATCCCAAGTTGCCGCAGGCGCGACGTCGCATAAATGATGTTGGGTGGTACAGCCTATGCCTTAATTAGGCGCCGCTTCTACGGACTGCTGGTCCTCCCACGATGTACGTTAGTAAAGCGAATGATCAGAACCGCGCGGTGCCTAACTGAAGTGTGTTCTTCTACCGGAGTATGACCTGACCATTTATTCAAAGAAAACCAAGGTACTACACCCAGGATCTAGTAACGTTGAATACGATCATCACATAGATGGTGATAAAATTGATTATGTGATTGACCTTGGCTTTTGGTGATTAACTCTGGGAAATTCGGTAGCTTGGGAAGTGTTGGGTTGTGCATAATTCGTTCAGGGCACTCACAACAGACAACGTTGTTTTCTTTACTTCGAGCTTACAAAGTTCATGTTAGACCCTTGACTGAGTATGCCGCTACGGTTGTCAATCCCTGCACAAGTAAACTCTTAAAGTTCAGAACAGTTCCAATAGGAGACTGATGATATGAAGTGATGAATTTGTGTACAATCAAACTGGGACCTAAACTTCAAATTCAAAAAGTTCAGGTTGGAAGACTTGTAAGAGAATAAAGTTTAACCTCATTAGTCCTATAAGATTTCGTTCAAATTTCGACATTTAAACTTGACTAAATTCTTTGTGAAGGACATCTATGACTAGGAATGGTCCGTGCAACTTCTTCTCCAGTAGGGTCTCTCGTGCGTTTGATTGTCAGAATGCAAGTTCTTTCTGCAAAACTCCCAGGCATTGACGTCACCCTAAGAACTATCTACTTTCCTTGTCTGACTATTGAAAGAAGATAAATTGTCCATCCAGACATCCTCATCAGCTCAAACAAGTCAATACAGGGCTAAGTACATGCCTTAGCGATATTGCACGGCACGCGAACTTAAAATGCGCTCCAAACAAACAACGCTCACATTGAACAAGCAAGCACGTGTTGATGTGACTTTAGATTTGATATGTATAGTTCATTTATAAAATCTTGACGACGGATTTCACTGCGGACTTTGCGCCCATAGAAGCATAAAATGCTCATACGTGAAGGCATCACCTCAACGTTCAGCTTAGCCACTTCCAGTGTTTAGATATTATCATACGCAAGCAAAAAATCATTCGACTAGAGATGAAAACTAAGGAAATGCAATTTTCGGAAGTGGTGTGCGTGTCGCGCGTGGTCGCGCCATCGTCACGATTCTTTCAAATGCCCTATACATGCTGATGAAGTATATTGAACCAGGCTGAAAATTTGTGAAGACCTTTGTGAATGCGAATCGTGACAAACTTCCCAAATGATCTGGTGTCGTTTCAGGCGAAAGCCAGCTGAGACGGATCTGATACTTTGCTCATACCATTTTTCACGATCTTTTCATGAATCATATCTTCACATTGGAAGTTTTCAAACAAGCACAAAACGAGTTCACACTTTCTACACTATCTTACGACAAGGACCTTGCCGCCCACCCCCTAATCTGCCGCCGTGCCACTTTGGCCCCGGAGAGTTTTATGTAGCACATAGATTGAGCGCGGAATGCACGGCTATCGTGTGCGCGTGTGAGTTCTGACGTTTACACCCTTAAAGACCTCGGAAAACTTCCAGTAGTAGCACAAAAAGCAGTGCACTTCTTAACCATTTTGCAAAACAGAGGAGGTCTTCGCTCTACCTAGTTCCGGTCGAGGTTATCAATGGTCGTTCCAGGTCGAGCCGAGTCCTGGAACGCCATTATTAGCGCCTAAAAAGTACATAAAAATGATCTTCGTAAGTCATTGTTAATACATCTATCTCCTCCACATAGACTGTTTTTAGTTTACATCACACCGAGACCCCGATCGAAATTGCTTAAGTATTCATACTTCTTGTGAAAGACTCGAATTGGTAACAGCACGAAAAAACAAGTGAAGATCATTCTCAGCTCAGCTGCTGTATGTGATGGATGTGATTACGCTTACGTATATTTGCATAGCAGTACAATTGATACCATTACTGCTTACCATACTGCTAGGAATATGGTTGTTCCGTATACTACGATCAGAAGTAAGATAATACTTCCATCTCTCAGCAAAGCTACAGCAGCATGCTTCTTTCAGACCGTCGATGAGATTATTCACACTTCATCGCTTTTGGCTTCTGCGCAAACTTCACTCACATACGCTGAGATTCCGTTTCCATTGCTTGCTGTGATAGCACACCCATACGGAACCAATATGACCGAGGTCTACATTGCTCTGTAACACTTCTTGTAATGCAAGTTCAAAAAAGATTACAGTTTCAAAAACTATGGATCAGAGAGAAGGAAAAGCGTTGCAGAAAAGTTCTTGAGGTCTACAAGAAGGACTGTTTAACAACAGGCTTCATCCAAAAGTATGAACTGTATTTCTTTTTAGCATTGAAAGCTTCAAGTCAAAACTCATCAGTATGTACGAAAAAAACGTCGCATTGAAAGGTGGTAGTTTTCCGCAATTGCGTTGCCGCAGTGCACAAAAGAGGAACTTTATTTATGCCACATCAGCTGCAGGGACTGTACTCGTGCGCGACAAACGGTGAAACCCTTGTCCTAGCAGTTGTACATGTTGTGCTCCCACGTTTTACCAGCGGGTCGTGGCTGCCGCAAACATGTCCAGTCCATGAAGTCGATAAATTTCTAAACAAGCTGTTGCCACACCATAAACCGCTGTATACTACGGTGATCTCAGCTCTTCCGGTAAGCCAACGACGCAATTCATTGAGATCACCAAAGCGATGAAATGCAACTTAATCCATTCATCGTGAAAAGAACAGGTCACTTCAAGGACAGAGCTCAGAATTTGCCAATTGATCTTCAATGGGGCACTAGGTATTGGCTGATGTGTCTCCTGCCTAACTTTTGCATGATAGGGGAAGTTCAGCTTTGACGATACTACAAAACATCCCTCAAGGTCACTTTTTCCATTTCGCGTAGTATGAATTTGGGTTCTCTATGTTTTTAATTACAACTGAGAGTGACACAGATCCAGCGCTAGTCTTTGTAAATTCGCCAACATGATTGAGATTGCTTAGAATTGGGATATTTAAGATAATGAAGGACTTTCCATGATTTACGCTACAGGATGTCTTCCGCAGCTGATGCATGTGCATGCTCTGATAGTGTGCACCAGAACTTTTGTGCATGTTTGGAAGAAGCATTATAACTGCCCCGTATTTCTGAGCGTCAAACGTCCTTCATGCGCGGGTTGGAAAGTAGAAGGTTCTTTTTTGATTAGATGAAGTGGACGAAATTGGAAAGTGAGGGTCAGTGGTTTGTGAGAACGATTATTTCAATCCACAAACCTATGTCCTGAGTAAGTTTCAGTACCGTACATGAAGGCACAGAGCCGTCTTAGCTGAATGTAACGGGTTCATGACTACTTCCCGACACGTCGTAAGCCGTGATAGTAAGTCTAGCGCAAATCCGCCAACACAGGCAGCTAGGTTGGCACTCAAAGCAGCCTCCCCCCAGTAAGGCACAACTGGGTGCGGATCATGTGTAGAATTTCTTTTTGTGCTTGGGTGGAATATTGTCGCATATTTTCTTGACAACTTCCGGCCAGGAGCATTTGTGTATCGACTCCAGTTTTAGCTGATGTCTCTAGCGAAATTCGAAGTTTTTGTGACATTTGAATTGCTTGCCGCCATCCTAATTGATAGAGTTGCTAGCACAACGCCTTGAGGTCTTTTACAGTTAAATGTATTTCCGGCGGCAGCGGCCTGAGAGCGATGATCGTTACTTCGTCAAAGATGCGTGTTTCGGAGTTGTTGAATGAGGCAATATTTGTCGGTGCCAGTGATAGAGGTGACTTATGAACACCCTTGTACATATCGCTTCTAGTTAAGAAATGGGAAGGCTGAGCAGCAGCCTTCCTGAGTCGTAGCCTTTGCTGACGTACAAGCGTTGTCGTAGTTTTGGAGTTCCGCAAGGCAATTCACGGGTAACAATCTTCTTATGCATTTGCACTGCACTTCAAAATTACCTATGATCATAGAAGAAGAGTGACAATCTTGGTCATCAGAAAAATCTAAAGTAGCAAAAGTAGAGTAAGAAATGTTCTGGGACTGTGATATTACGTCCAACACTCTGTATTGTAGAGTCACTCAACGAAAGGAACATCATAGCATTTCGCATCTTGGATGAGCCTTGCGGTGTACTTTCCTTTAATGGGATTTTGAGCGGAATGAAATAGTGATTGCTGCAGTGTAGTCGCACCCAATAAGTGAGGCTGATAACACAAGGCGTTAATGTTTTTGCAAGCCTCGATAAATTCTTCACTGTACTTGATAACCAGAGATGATCCATGGAGAAATTCGTAAGTTGTGGATCACCTATAGTCGCAGCATCAGCGTTCAAGGTAAGGATAGTAAATCGTCCTGACAAGCGATTTTTCCCCATGTTACCACAAAAGTTTTACTACGGAACCCCAAGGCTTGATTGTTACAGTCAGGTTAGATGTAGCGTTGAGAACAAGTAATGCTAACTTGCTGTCATAGGTACAAAGTAGACGTGTTTTTTAACAGTACTTGGGTGTTTTGTGAAATTTCGATGTTCTTGTGCCGCAATGCCGCTTGCCACTTCCAGCCTTTCTAAAATGATATCTGTGTCTGTTAGGCCACATAATTCGAGCCAAATTTGGCTCAAATTATGTGGCCTAACAGACACACATTTTTGAATGTCACAAAAAGGATGTTTTTCAACATTTTTGTAGTGTCGTAGAAGATTGCCCAGACGATTAGAATACGAAACGCAATTCACAGATACATCAGCAACTGCCAGAAACCTAGAAATTGATCTTCACAATAGTCACACACCCATTCTAGAGCTGTCACACCAGCCAAGAATGCCTGCTCAGCATGTCATCAAAGAAAATTTAAATTTTCAGATTCAGTTCAAAGTACCTTCTTCATGGCTACGTCGGCAGCGAAGCTATACTCAGCAGCTGCATACAATCGGAATCACAACGTTCTCCTTTGAGATCCGATCGACGAGTCCTTCAAAGCGGCGACAAACCTGGGTCTAGCCGTTGTGACAAGTCACTGTCGGCAAAATCTCCATCCGATCGGCAGCGGTCTAGTTCTACGCGTCGTCGAGGAAAAAGTGGAAAGGACAAAAGTAGAAAGAAATCAAAAGAAGCAAAAGATGCAGATGGCGACATTTCGGACGACAGAAAGATGGCCAGCAAAGAGCGTGAAGATAAGCGAAAATTTAGCTCTGACAGAATTAACAAGCATCGCAAGAAGAATGATGGTAAAGATGGTAGCAGGGATGATGTTGATAACGATCCACAGAAACAATCTAACCCTGGCAATGATGGTCGTTACGACACAAGGAAGAAGGCTTCCAATGACAATAGTGAAGATATGAGGAAAAAAATTCATTACTCATAATAGCATTCTGTTAACAAGGTATGCGTTTAGAAGCCCAAACTGTGATTCTTGTAAAATGGATATCTTAACCCTATCCTTTCATTTCAAAATTGACTGGCGGTCAAGCCCCACAGAGAAAGTCTGGATTAAATTGCAAACGTAATATGCAACATAATAAGAAACCATTTCTGCTACTCTTTATAAACTGCAATCTATCGGGCGAGCGCAGAACGGCAACCCTAATTATTTGTCAATTCTGGTTTCATATACAAAAGTTTATATTGTTATAAAATGGACTTTACCACCCCAGCTGGCGGAACTGCTATCGCTCGCATTATTCAAAATTTCATCTCATCGCAACCACGAACCAAAGCGGTATAAAAAAAATGATTAACGCTACCAGAGCTCCCGCTCGCAGAAGACTCATGCGAAAAGTCCATTCAGAATGGGGCAAATTAATTTACCCCCATTTCAAAGGGACTTAAAGGATATTCGTCGACGACTGCCCCGTTTAGTGCATTTACACCACCGCAGGCGTGCCTCTTTGGAGCCTTTCCAGCTTGACAGTACGCTGCAGCGCGCCGGGACTTCTTAGCTCGCAGCAACACTGTCCTTTAGCCTCTTTTGTTGATTTAAGTATTTCACATCGTTTTTTCCTCTTAGTTTACGTATTTCAGTCAGTCATTCGTCTTCCCTTTTTCTTAGGCTCTCTCGATGTTCAAATGTCCTACGTTTCACTTTGATGAGTACTGAGAGGTAAGGAAAAAATTTGTTTGGAACACTTTCTTGAATTCCTCTCGCTTTTCACCCACCAAAGATTCTTTTTCAAAACGTGAACATCTCCTCGGGTAAAGTTGGGTGAAAGGGTGTGCTTTGTCCATAAAACAGTGGTGGTATCATGGAGTTTCCTTAGATGAGGCCACTTTAATGTTTATTTCAACACTCCTACATGGTGTCCCTGATGTAGGAGTGTTGAATCAGTTCAGTGGTATGTCCCAGGAAACATATCAAATCATTGTAAAACATTGAAGAAAATATGCAATCGCAATCATAGCTATGACATCCACCACTGCAACTACAAATAACATTCTTTTTTTCTATTTTGCTCGCGACGATGGTCTCACATAGACATAGAACGGTCGATTGCCTGAAATGAAAAATAAGAAGAAAAAACAATGCGAAATACTTAAATCAACAAAAGAGGCTAAAGGACAGTGTTGCTGCGAGCTATGAAGTCCCGGCGCGCTGCAGCGTACTGTCAAGCTGGAAAGACCCCAACGAGGCACGCCTGCGGTGGTGTAAATGCACTAAACGGGGCAGTCGTCGACGAATATCCTTTAGAAGTCTAATTCATTCCCAGCAGCGGTAAGCTAGGATAAGCCAATTTTTGACCTTTTTGCATGCTTTTGATTGCGATTTTTGAGAATGTGTTTATCAGCCCATTTTGGAGAAAAAGGTGAACGGAGAAGGTGGCACAGGGGCAGGGTGGCCGAAAAGTATGGGCGCTACATCCACAAATGTAAATCTGTCGTCAAACATCAAATTCTAATTTTCACTATGTCCCATTTTTACCATATCCCATGGGCATATACAGGGTGGCCGAAAAGTATGGGCGTTACATCCACGAATGTAAATCTGTCATTAAACATCAAATTCTAATTTTTACTATGCCTCTGTCACGAACAAAGCTTGAATATCAATACCTAAAGAAACGAAATGGCCTCCTCTGGCTCTGACGCAGGCTCGGAGTCTTGTCTTCACTAGGCGACCGTGCGGCGCAGGTAATCAGTATCAATATTCGTCCACGCATCTTCCAATTCGTTGCTCAGACACTCCAGAATTTTGATATTCTTTCCCTTCAAACTGTTCTCTAGCATACTCAGAGAAGTCCATCGGGTTCAAGTCAGGACTGTTGGACGGCCAAAGATCATTGGGCAGGTATTCATCGAGGTTAGCTGAAAATCACTGAATGCGCCGGTGCCCCGTCCTGCTGAAATATTATATGTGGATGACCTTTTTTCCAAGAAAGGACGCACTTTTCTCAAACATCCTCTTGGTACATAGTGGCGTTGATGTTGACATTTTTCGGCATGAAAACAAGCGGCGTCTTATCGTTCGCTAAGATTCCTGCACAGACCATCAGACTGGGAGGAAAAAGTGACTTTTTAGTAATTCTTCGTTTTCGTGACTGTCTATCCTTCAGACTGATAGCTGATGGTCATTCTGGGGATTGCGACAACCTTCGACGGTGAACATTTTTTTCATCCGTAAACAAGAATTCTCAAGACGGCGCACCTCGAAAAATTCCAACAATTTTCTGCATTTTTCCAAACAACTAGCTTTTGCTGCGCTGGTCAATTGCTGTCCAAAAGCTCGGTAGCTCCGTAATCCCAACTCATCTTTTACTATAACTTGGACCGACACACGTGCTATGTTCAGGCTTTTCGCGATGCCGTTCAGGCTGACCTCGTCGTTCCTGCACATCCTTTTTCTGGTAATTCCTCAAACTCTTCTGTGTTCACCGTTCGCAGACGCTTCGGTTTCCGAGCAACATTTCCTTCTTCCTTCCACTGTTTGATGATTTTCTGGACAGCCCTCAAAAGCGTGTATAGCTTCCTTGCAATAGCTGCCCGGACTCGCCTATTCAGCCAAGCAGGCAATGACTTCGCGGTGAGGGCAAGCCTTCATAGTTTCTTGGTAAAGAGACGACCGCTTATTGCAAACTATGAAGCCAAAATAATTTTCTTTGCACAAACCAACGGCGGTGGGATACGACCAGATATGGCGTCCATACTTTTCGGCCACCCTGTAGTCTGGAATGGACGTTTCTTCCAAACTTTTTCAGAAAGCTTCAAAAATCATGAAGGAAGGTTGAATTCGTTATACCAAGTAGCAAACTTGATTGTTTTGAATATTAGGTTAATGCGAAAGTGCCCGTATAATTCAATAAATTCAAACTTCAAATCATCAGATCCTGAACAAAATTCATAATTTACATAAATTCGTGCTTTGTCATATCAAAATAAGAAAAAATTCGCATTTTATTATAATTATACAAAAGCTCTTTATTGTTGACTCCTCGGAAAATCAAGCTTGCAAATAAGGCGCTTCAATCGTTGAGCAGCAGTAGTAGGCGGTAGTAGTCCACACGTCATTCAGGCTTTGACTCTCATAACGTAAAGAGAGAAAATCACGAAAAAATATCATTTTGTTGGAATCCCTTCATCATAGTTTTCTTTTCAGCGACACTGTGTGAAGCTCAGAATAAAAGTAGTGTTTACGGTAATCAGTTTTATGACCTATATTCTTATGAAGAAAATACGGGGAGAGGATTCTTCCTCCAAAATAATATTTTTAATTGATAATTTTTCTGCATATGAATTTGGTTCAACGCAAAATGATATTTTTAATTGATAATTTTTCTGCATATGCATTTGGTTCAACGCAAACTGATAGAAGAAATCTTTAGATGCAAAAGCTCAAATATTATTTCGTTTTTGTTGAATTGATTAAATTGAAAGTATTTGTGTGTGATGCCCGACCATATCCCGCGCGATTTCAGCCACCGCGCAGTTCGGCGCTGCTACGTTGGCTCATAACCAAGGTCGAGCAAGAGGTGTGGCACACAACCGCAGAAGACGACACTCCCCCCCCCTTGCATTATCGTTTGCCTACCGTAGGCATAACATAAAGGCTACTAAGCATAATTAGGAACATATCCGTAATTATTATCTCAAATAATCTCTGTGGATTAGATTTTAGCAAACTCTGAGGTTCCCGATATTGGGCCACTCAGTTCATTTTTGAACATGGTTAACACGTTTCAAACCGGTACTGCACATGGTGCTTGGAACGATCTTCTTGACGTTTACAGGAGGTTTTCTCTTAGTCCAAAGTCATCAATTCAAAGGCCTAAGCTTCTACTCTTCAAGTGACTCTGTAGAGTTGTGCCGCCGATATTTGTTTAGGAGATATGAGCACAAATCGAACAACAGTTGCAACGAAATGCGACAACGCAAACGACGCGTGCGACGTCGCAGCTTTCCTCTTCTTCGATACCAAAGAGAAAAACCGTAGTTTCAATACTGATGTGTACGTCCACAACACAGATACTTTTGGATACTATAGAGACTGGAGTGTTTCTATCTTTCAGGAAAGCATGAAAGTCCTACTCAGGCGGCAAAATTCAAACACTTCGAATTCACTCAGCTTTGGGTATGGAGCTCATCCGATGTGGCCATTAAAGATGTAGCACACAGTCTTCAAAATAAGGTCTCTTTGATGGCTAACGGTTGGAAAAACACTCTTTTTCGCCCCGCGCGATTTCGCGGTCCGAAACGTGCTATGTAACTATATCTCAAAAGTGAATTAGCTACCTTTTCTTGCACTCAAATCAAAGCACTAATTGCATCCTGTTTCAAACTTCAAACAACCATCAAACTATGGAATTAGGAGCCAGCCAAAATCTCATTCGTCCCATTTTAAGCTTACATTGGTTGTCCAGCAACCATTACGCAAACAAAAGAAGAATGCAGCCCTTCACTATCGAGATTTTGGTGAATTTTATATGATTTGTTCGCTGAAACTTTTTGGAGATATGTTAATGGCGCAAACCCTGAAGAGCTGTGGCTGCCACAATTTTTCAGGGGTTGCCACACTCCATAAACTTTCTTCAAAGCATTCATAAATCTTCTTTTTATACCGTTGCCACTGCTGAACTTTCTCTACACAGCAGAAATTTCGTTTTCATTTCGTATTTCATAATCTCAAAATCGACTTTTTGCTTGGACACTGCCTTTAAAGTGTCCAAGCAATAAGTCGATTTCAAGATTTGTGCTTACCTGGCCTATTCGCTATGCTGAATCCGAAAATCAACACCAAAGAGCGCGAGAACGGCGAAAAAAGGCTCTAAAGGAAGTGGGAAATTGCGGGTGGGCGGGGGTGTTCTTATTGTGTCGTCACTCTCCCAGCTTCATGAGCGGTCTTCTCGCTTCCGCTAGTCGCCCTAATATCACAACCAGCCAACTGCGAAACGCGTG